TTCAAGAGGTTTCACTTTAATCAAATAAACAGCCATCATCATATTTAACATGGATACTAATCCAATTTAAATACAAGGAATCTAATAAAATAATACTAGAAACATCATAAATAACATTTTTTTAATCAATAAGATTATATTGAAATAATAAGTAAATGGATTCTTTTCTAATTTTACACCTTCATATATTGCTCCAAAATTATGTTGTATAACTTTCTATTTGAAAACATAAGGTGGTTTAGACATAAAAAGTATTGCTGAATAAATAAATATTACTTCTAATAACAATGCAATTATGCAAAATAAAAAACTAGAAAATAAAATTGGATCATTGATATATACATCCTTTAATTATAGAAACAAAGCAAGATTATAATCAAAAGCTACTGCCATGAATGTGCGAATCACACCTGACATAAATTCTTAATTTATTTTTAATAAGGATTGTTATAAATTTCTTGAAATTCTATAAATGAAGAATGTACATACACTTTATTCTTATGAATCAATTGGAGCATATATAAAAGAATGGGAAATCTTAGTCAAAGTTTAAAATAGTATTCTACAAGCAATAAAAGTAATGAATGTTGTTATAAATACAGTCAAAACAGTAATTATGTTTACATAGAAGACAGTTGAGTATCCTTCATTTTTAAACTTAGAATCTGCATCAGGTGTATTTACATATCTACTAATGTATTATTCCAAATCAATATATTGTTTTAAAAAATCAAATTGGGCAAATCCAAATATTGTAAAATAATTATTAACATTATATGGATATTAAACATTTAAAAATTATAAGTAAGATACTAATTATAGAACATCTAATAAATTCCAAAATATATTTAGTCCTCCAAATAGAAATGCTAATATAGCAAATCCAAAGAGCAGATACAAAATATATTTACTTAATTTTATTAAACCATTAGTAGCACTTTCTGTTGAATTAGAAGGTGATTTAAATTCCAATAATTAAGTAATATAATTTTTTTCTTTAAAAGTATTTCCTTATTCATTTAGAATGGCATCTTGATTTACTATCTAACAAATTAATTAAGGATTGGAAACCACTGATTAAAATTGAATATTCAATTCTAGAAACAAATAACTATATTAATCAGAGTATGATGTTAAATCTACATAAGTAATTTCATATTAATTTAAATTATTAATTTTAAATTTCATAATGGAATTGATACTTCCAGATATTGAAACTTATTGATCTGTCTTAATTCTCACAATTCTTTATGAGTCATATTTTAAATCATATGGATTTAATTCAAATATAATAGATGGATAGATAATCTTCTCACATAAGGTTTAACATTAATAGCCTTCTTCAATTTGACATTATTAATTACAACCATCATTATTATCTATATTTCCATCATCACATTATTCATTTTAAACTTTGATACCATCTCCACAAATATTTACACATTAATCATCTTAGAGTTGATATCCTTAGTCTTATTTACATATTACACATGCAGATCCATCAGATGTATATACCATACAATCTGTACAATTATCTGATTTATTTATGCAGGTTTTACAACTTGAATCACAAGGTAAACATATAGATTCTTGAGTTAAATAGAATCCATCAATACAAGCTGTACATTTGCCAGCATCACAAGCTGTACAAGTGTAATCTAAACAAAATGAATTACCATGTAAACATTTATAACAATTATCTCTATAATTATCATTGCCATCATCACAATCTTCATTCCATTATAGAATACCATCTCCACATTTGGAATAACAATAATGTGTAATTGGAGGATTTATATAGTCATTACAACTTAAGCATTACTTATCATTAGATTCATAATATCCTCTTCTACATTTGCAGGAAAACTAAAGAACATTATTTGTAATTTAAGGTTCTCTGGTATTAGAACATCTAGTACATGATTAATTAGTATTATTAGAACATTCCAAACAGGATAAATGACACTCTAATATTTATAAATATAAGTATACATCTACAAATATCAGATGATTGTTAAAAATATCCAGATTTACATATACAAGTTTAATTATTAATACTCATGATTCTAAATTGATCATCATAACATGATGTACAAATATTATCATTTAGACAAGTTTTACATGAATTAGGACATTCTAATTATTTAAGGAGTAATAAATACTTTGACATATCAATTATCCAACATCATAATAACCATCCATACAAATACAAGTATCATTTTAAGTTATTCTATTGTGAATAGGATAACATTAACTACATTGATCTTTTGTAAATTAGCATTTTTGACATAAATCTGAACATTTAGAACAAATTAAATCATTATCTTCTTGAAAATAACCAGTTTAACATTCACAATTAGATGATTCTAATACTCTATATTATCCTGGAATACAAGTTAAACAATCTCTAGCTCTATCTTAACACTTTCTACAAGTTGGATAACATAAATAACAACTAAAATTCTCCATATAATATCCATCTAAACATATACATTAATTAACATTCAACCATAAGTTTTTTGATTCATCACAAGATAAACAATTTTTTGGATGTTTTGGACGTATTACACCAACATCTATCTAATTATTTAAACAGGTCTGACAATTATGAAAGCAATTACTTTATGAACAATATTGAATCACATCCTTTAAAATAGAACAATAACATATATTATTTCTCAATTCATATCCATCTTTACAAGTAATGCATTCTAATGCTCCATTACAACTATTACATCCAATATTACAAACACTACATTCTCCATTATCATCCATAAAATATCCCAATTTACATCCATTAATATCAGTACTTAATGTATTTATTGAATTCAAACAATTTCCATTATCATCACATTATTTACAATAATCTTAGCAAGTCCAAATTATTATTCTATAATCATATATTCCACAATATGCTTCACTATCAATACTTCTAATACAATGTAATTACACTGATAATTCATCAGTTGATTAAAATGATTTCATATAACTTACACTCTAAATTACTTCAATTTCATTTTAACCTACTTAATTACCCACTGAAATTCCACTACCAAACATAGAATATGTAGAAACTTCAGAATTAACACTTGTTCTAAATTATATTTGATTGTTCTTAGAATCAATGAATACTAACATAAATTCTACTTTTATTCTATAGAATGGTTTTTTGTATCTTAATCTATGTATCACTTATTCATTACTCCATAAATTAAGTCCTCCTAAAATTATTTTATTCATAAAATAAGAGTAAGATCTCAAATTTAATTTATTTGAATAAGATTCTATATAGTAATGATTTAAATCATGAAACATATTAATTAAATACTCTTAATTAACATTTACCATTTATGAATCTACACAAACATTTCCAATTGTATTTGTGTAATCTGGACATTTATCGATACACATTCCTTTAAATAAATATTTACTACCTCCACAAGACAAACAGATATCTGGTGTTTTGAATTAACAAGTTTAACAATTATTTAAACAACTTATTTAATTACTTGATATTGAATATTGATTCACAATAAAATCTCTGATTCCCCATTTTCTTTCAGGCTAATTTAAAGTAAATTTAGAACTGAATTCTATTTCATTTATTGTTTCTGAAAGATCAAACGTCATGTAAATTGTTTATAATTTACATTGTTAATATAATGGAGTATTACATATTTCTTTAGGTAAAACTCTATTTTACTGTTTGAAATAGGAATTAAAAAAAACTGTTTGAAAATCAGTTATCTTGGCTACAACAAACTAATTGAATTTAATAATTATTTCCTCTTAAACAAAACCGAAAACTCTACCAGTCATATACAATGTAAATTTCATCTCATATTTTCCATTTGCAGGTAATAGAATATCATTATAAACAATTTTATCTGTATTCCCAAACATTCCAGCTACACTCTTACTTCCAATTGTTTGCGTCATCAATTATATATTACTAAAATATTTATCGGGAATGTATTAGAATTTGTAAATATTAAAAATATCCTATTCCAAATCCATATAGATATTATTTATTATTGCTATCTAACAAACACCATTCTCATCAGGTACATGATCTATTGGACATTAATCTACACATTATAAATTTGGATTGTAAAATGAAAATTTTTAAGTTGGATCACATTTGCATTATGATTTTATTAATTCATATCCTAATTTACATGTCAAACATTAATATTCATCACATTCTTCACAAAGATCATCACAATAAAAAACTTATAATACAAAATTTGTTATTCCATAATCACTAGTTGAACCAATTGTAAATTATTCATGAACAATTTCAATATTTAATTGAGCATCATTAAATGATATCGTTTGATCTATTCTTGAGATTTTCTCAGAATTTGATTTTCCAAATGGTCTTTATATACAATATCTCATAGGATAGTCTTATAATTCACTAGTTTTAGGATTTTCATAATGCACCAATAAACTATTAGCATATACTGTGATAGCCTCTGCAAGATTCCATTAACCCAAATAATAGATATCAAAACTGATTCTTATTTTACTAAATCCCCTGGAAGCAGACATCAAGATACTACGAGTTAAGGAAACATCTCCCTGTAAGATTTTTGAATTGAGTGTCGGTTATAAATCACAAACTAGAAGTAAATTCGATGAAGGAATGTTGTTGGAGTTTCTCCATAAGTGAAATGTTGAACTATCCATCAATTCGGATAGATAAAGTTCCCAACCTAAGGATTGGATGATAACTAGTACCACAATGAATTTTCATTATAACAACTGATAAAACTAGGAATTACATCTATTTGATTATGTTTTATATATATAAATAAATCCATATTACATGAATATACAGAGATATACTAATATTATTTTGATAAATTCTGTTGTCAATATTATAATCAATGTCATCATCATAAACCACTAATCAATATAGTCTACTCACTTTACATCATTTAGTTAATTAATTTTTATATTTTTATATTAAAATACATCTTCAAATAATATTTTTAATGATATTACCTCCATCAGATTAAATACTTCATTCAGTCCAATCCAAATCTTGGTTTAATTCTCGATGCCAATCAAAAGTTAAATTACAGTATTTGAAGTCATAACGTGAAATTATGAATGATAATGTTGTAACTAATACATTTCGTTTAATTGACAGGGATTAATCAAGTATATTTACTCATATTTATTAATAAGAAACACTAGAAATTGAAGAATTATACTCCATGTTTCTAAAAAATGGATATCCAATAAATATTAATTTGTTAAGGGGCTTTTTTGAAAAGGCAGACAAAGATAATAACAGTACTTACATGTCTAATTAATATAGAATCTATTGAATTAGAAGAGTTTAAACATGTTATTTATGATGAATAAGCAACATAATGTAATATATCTTACTTATTTAGCATTTAGAGAAATGATGAGGAAAATGAGAGAATAAGCAAAAGAATCCAATTATTACTCTACTGACTTTGTTAGATTATTGAGATATCTTTCTTATTGTTAAGATAGAAATGCTCTGCAATTCTAAATCAATGTAAGTCATCATTCATTACCTAGAATCATAGATTAACAGTGGAAAAGAGATCAAAACTATTATCTTAATTGATTTAGCTCAATCATCAATATAACTAAGATTAATAAATGAGTGATGAATAATTATAACCTAAACCATATAAGAAATAAACAAATGAAAGGAAAACACTACCACCTATACATTAACATTATGTTAGCAATTCAAATACATCTTCCATGATACAATCCTAACTTAAATTGAATTTAAGTGATGTTCACAAGAATTCAGCCTTATCCTTGCCATCTTATTTATCCCCTCAAAATACAGATAGAAATATTAAGTAACCTGCTATCAAATATCAAAGTTATCTTAGAATTAACAATAAAATATTTAGTAATAATAAAAAATGAATGTCTTATTTATTTTACTTATTTTTTATTATTTTTATATACCTTAATAAATATTAAAAAATACAAATAGGTTTAAAATAAATAATCAAAATTAACAAAATCATATGTAAGGTAAACAATAAAACTCTCCATCTTTATCGTCTTTACATTTTAAACACTTATTGTAAGTTTCACAAATCAGACAACCAACTGAACATTTGATACATCCATAGTCATCTAAATAGTAACCTTCTAGACACTTTTATTTTTAATAGTCAAATTTATCAATATCCTTTTGATATGCTTTGCAATCAGATTGAAGTGGACCCACACATTAAAGACATAGAGGAGAACACTAAATTTTTTAAGATTATTACTTTCATTGTCATAAAATAATAATTAGAGATTACACATCTACCATTATTCGAGATTTTGCATCCTAAATTCAGATTAAGTATATTCTTATTATGATAAAGTGGATGATCAATATAAGATACATTCTTATGTACAAGATAGGTTTTTCCATCTATCGTATAAGTAAAGCAATCTAATTCTGAAGTAGAATTCTCTATTGATAAATTAAACATTAATCTAATCGAGTAATGTTTCCCAAGATTTAATTATTTTGTAAAAGTTGTCCTTCGCCAATTATCTTTCAATCCACCACCGATATATGTAGTTCCATTTTCATATCGAAAGCTTATTTATTCTTTCATATCAAAAGTCTTCTAACCAAAAATAGATAATAATTCCTAAAAAGGTGAATCCAATTTTATTATAAAACTAACATCTAAAGATAATAAAAGAGAGTACCTTTTTATTCTTCATCTATTTTTATGCATTTACCATCTTTTTTAATTGTAAAGTATGGACATTATTTAACACATTAATTTTCATATAAATATAAATTTACCTTACATTGGCTACATACTTAATTAAAAGAACAAGATTCACATTCATTAATTGTGCATTCATAATATTTTATTTCTTTATCATAAAGTTTAATCTCATCAATATTCCAAAATCCAGTATTCTCAACATTTTTTGAATAACTATATATAGTAATTGTATTTTATTCTTAAAATTCCATCTTTAAGTAACCTTTCACTTATATGCAATCTAATTCAAACCTTTACTTACACTGTTTATATGACTATGTATTATAATAAATAGGTAAAAAGGGATGAATTAATTCAGGTTGAGCATTTTCTTTAAATATCTTTAGAATTGAATTATAGTGATCCTATTATTTCCCATAACAATTAAACACAATTTCCATCCATCCTACAAAATTTTATCCAAAATCAATATGTAATTCTTAACTTTCTCCAAATTTCTTGGTTTATCCAATATCATTGTCTATAGACATTTAATTTAAACCCAACTAATTTAAACCTCAATATTTTTAATAATATACTTGTCTTTATGCATTCTCTGAACTCAGATATGTATCCTTTTGGGCATTCATCCACACACTAATTTTTATATCTTAATTTCTCACATTAATCCAATATTTCAAGATCACAATATCCAGATAAGCAATATTTGCAATTCTTAGGGCATTCTTCAATAAATAAATTGAAGTTCCTTATTGAAAATTAGATCTATTCACCAAAATTAAACTATATTTTTATATCTGCAGCTTAGTGCTCAAATTCAATATGAAATTCCTTAAAATCTTTTTCTACAACAAGAAAGTTTCTCTTAATTCCATTTACCTTAAGCAATATCTCCACTTAACTTAAATTTGCCTTAGCATCAAATATCATATGTAATTTTCTATATCCCTATAAACCTTCATATTTTAATAAGTAGCTTCCATTTGATACTATCAGATAATCATCCTCCATAATAAAATTATCATTATTAATTGGCTCAATTATTTTTTTTGAAGTTATAACATTCCAGCAGTTGATCCATTGAATCAAAAAGAATAGAAATATCAATAACATTTTTTCAAAATATTATTTATTCAATGAAAATATCTTTCTAAAAAGAAGAGACTTAAATGCAATTTCTATCATTACTTCTAATCTTTATACTACATATTATGTTTATAAAGATTAAAATAACAAAAGCATTACAAAATAACAAATGGTAGCATCATTAATTCTGTCTTTTAGATATAAATTACACTTATAATCTTTTACTTCATTATATAATCTAATTTCATTAACCATTTTTGACAGAAAGTAATTTACTTATATATTATAATATTCTCATGTATTAACATATTACTATTAATGCTCTTTTACAAATTACTTGAAATATCTACAGGGTTTATTAAAACATAAATAAAGATTATTATAAGTACAATATAGAATATATAAATTATTAAATATATATTTCAAGTTCTTTATTTATTTAAGAATATACAGATAATTATTAATTATTTTATCATTATTCAAAAAATTTGACCTATTCTTAGCTTAAATTCTTTAACAGGTAATTAAAATTCTAATAAATTTGATTTTCAGAAAGATTATAAATTTAATATACTAATTTTTAATTTTTATTATTAAATTTTCTGTCTATATTTTATTAAAAGTATTAAAATAGGAAGAAACTATAAAATATGGAATCAAAAAATATAATTAAATATTAAAATTTGAAACCAATAAATATAAAAATAGTAATTCAGAAAAATCTTTGTTTATTATTATCTTCATTTATAAGAGACTTTAAATTTTTCATTTCCGAATCAAGTCTTACAATTACTTTATCTGACTGATTTGTATTTTATTATTAATAAAAATCATTATTTATTCTTCCAAAAGATGAATTTAGTTATTTATCTTACAAGATATTCTATCATAAATAATTATTTGTACTTATAGAGTACTCAATCTCATTTCTCCACTTTAAATTTAATTATGAATTTGCAATTTTAATTAAGAAATAATTTCTTAATAATGCTCATCTTTTTAATTGAGTTCTTATCTTTTTAATTTTTCACATTCTCTTAACTTTGAACTTAATATAAATATTTCCTCTAAACTAAATGATTATAATACCTTAATATTTTTTAATTTCCTATTCTTTTAGATTTATTGCATTTTAATCCATCAATTTCAACTATTTCAACTTTTCAGATGCTAAATTTTATTCTAATTAATTAATATGTAATTTTTATTGGTCTATAATTTTTGATTAATTGTCTAAGTTATTTTAATAGAATTGTATCTATTCTTAAAGACTCTAATTTTCTAATTCAATATTTTTTAATTCTAATTCAAGTCTCATAGTTTATTGAATATATTATTAATTTAAGGATGAAGAATTAGCGAACATATTTTAAGATTAGTAATTGCTGTTATTTGTTGTAGTAATTATGTCACGTTTTGTATGCTATTTGGATTATTATTTTAATTCTTCTATCTAATTTTATAATGATTTTATCTCATTTTATTATTGATCAATCTTATTTTGCAATTCATTTTATTTAGTTTGTTCAGACCTTTTAGATGGACTAAAAGTAACATTTGAGTTGTAATTATTACTATTAAATTACTAATTTAATTCTTATATTCTACTTTAATATTCCTGGATAATTAACTCTGAACCTTTTGCTACTCTTGCCTTTGAAATATATAATATTTACTCTCAGAGTTAATTGTTAATATTTAGATTTCCAAATTTACAACTCATTTTCTAATTTTTCATATGATTATTTTCCCTAACAGAATTGTTCTAGTTCCATATATTTAAACTTCCAATATTCAACTTCTTTATTAACAAGTGTTTTTTCAACATAATTATGAGTCACTTTTTTTTAAACTTGGCTAGGGGATATTGATGCTTGTTATTTAACAGTTTTAGTTGGAGATTTACTAGAAAATTTCATTTATAAATAATAAATTTATTGAAATTTTATTGTTTCAATATTACAATTTAGAAATGAATTATTGTTTATAATTAATAAGATAAGTTCAATTAATTTATCCTTTCCTTAGTGTTGAATTTTCGACTTTGTTCATGTATGAAACATTTCTTATTTCATTTAATCTAAAAAATAAAATAAAAATTTACTTTAATGTTAATTGATGATTCATGCTCTTTAAATTATTAATTGTTGTTTCTAATTCTGAAATTCTGGAATTATATTCTACTTTAAGCTTTTCTTCAATTTTATCATAATCTTATAATAATTTAACTGATTTTTCTCTACTTTATCTCTCCCTATTAATAGCATCTTCCATTTATAATTAAAGATTCTTTATTTTATAAGTATAGTCATCTTATATCTATTCTAATCTTGATTCATAATGTCTTTTTGTTTTTGCAAGTTCCTCTAATTAGTTTTAACATTATCTAGTTAATGAATTTATTTTGCCTTTTTATGTAGATAATTCTTATGTTCTACTAGTTAATTCAGATCTAGTATGTTCTAAATTTTATTTTAGATCAGCATTATTATTTGTTAAAGTTTTAACATAGGAATCATGTGATTATTTTGCTAAACTAAATTCAGCTTCTTGATCAGTTAATTTTTATTCTAATAATGTATTTTTTTCTGTCAATTCACTAATTTGTCTTTATAAATCATCAGTTTATTAATAATTGGTTTCAATATCTGATTTTAATCCATTTTCCATACGAGTAATTTCTATTTTTAAACTTTTTATTTCTTTTGTTAATCTATCATTTAAAGTAGTAATTTAATTTGCTTCTTCATTCAATCTATGAATTTCATCCTCTCTTTATTCTATAATTATTTTATATCTATTTTTTAAACTATCTGATTATTTATCAAAATTTTCTTTTATATTTATAATTTCTTCTCTATGTTTTGACATCTAATTCTATAAAGTCTAATCAAATTATTATTCTTTTAATTAATATCTATCTTTTTCCATCACAGCATTTTCCCTTTCTTCTTTTAATTATTTAGTTAAAATTTTATAATTTTCTTCTTTTTTTAATAAAATTGAAATTTTATTTTCATAATTATCCATCATTTTAATTGTTTATTCTAAATTACTCTTACATTAATCTAATTCTCTCTTTAATGCTCTATTTTCATCCCTTAATTAATCAATTTCTCTCTCATTATGAACTTATTTGTCAAACAATTCTCTTTCTTTTTTATGCATCTCTTCTAATTCCTTTGATAATTCTGTTTAACTCAATTAACCCTTGTTTTAAAGATTAACAATTTCTTATTTTAAGTTTTAATTCTAATGTTTTAAAACCTTATTTTCATTTTCACTTTTACTGAATCTTTGAATATATTCTGTTTTCTCTTCTTCAGTAATAGCTACTAATTGAGTTTGATTTTAAAATTTATTCTCAAGTATATCTAATTTAATCTTTAAATCATCTGATCCAATTTCTAAATTTTAATTCAATTATTTTAAGTCCTATAATTAATTTAAATATTATTATTCATTTCTAAACATCTAATCATTTCTTAATTATAGATCCTATATTTGACTTTCATATTATTTTAATTTATTGACATAGATACTATTTTCCTCATTCAATAATCTTATCCTTTCCTCTAAGTCATCTTTTTCTAATTCATTAAAAACATTCTTTATATTATTTGCACTACCTCCTCCTTGTTAATACAATCTAAGAAATTATTCATTCTTCTCCTATAACTATTTTCTCAGAAATGTATTATCATCATTGACCATTTATATTCTGGCATCCATAGCAGCTAAATCATCCATTAATTTTTGAAGTATGACATCATAATTTTTTATATGATCTTCATAAACAATAAACAAAGGTGCCAAATAAGACAAATCTGTTTAATGATTAATATCTTGATGAATCACATCAACCCGAGTAATTCCTAAACGCTTTAAACATTCATTAAGTTCCTTAGATAATTTTCCATCTATAAATACTTTGAAAATATATATTACTTGCATTAACTTAGAAAGAAAGTTCTGATTTTAATTAGTTTATTTAATTTAACAGTTCTGCTTCTGTTTATTTTGGTTAAACCATTGACATTGGATGTCGTTACATTTTGAAACTATTTGTTCTGTTATAAATAAAAATTAAATTTATATATTAAAATATATATAGTGAAATTCTAAAATAATTGTATAATTTTTAATAATTTATAATATTTTATCAATTAGATAAGTCTCTTAATTGATCATCACGTGATTTTTTAATCACAGAAGAATTATTTTATAACCCATATTTCAAGCAGTAATAAAATTAAATTTCTTCATGGTTATAATTTATATTTTTGTCAAAATTATTATATAATATTCCAATTTCACTTAAATTTTTATTGTTTAAGATATACTCCTATAAAGTATTTATAACTTGCGGATTTAAAATATTTTAATGGATTTACAAAACCTTTTTTAAAAAACAGGTTATTTCATTTGATATATTGAGTTATTCTTAATTAATAATAGTACCTTTGTTATTTGGATTTTAAGGTTACAAACCAGGAATTTATTGTTAAGGAAGAAACTATTGTTAAATGGTAAATTATGGTTAATTAGAAATTTATTGTTAAGGAGGAATTTATTGTTAATTAGGAATTTATTGTTAAAAAGTAAATTATTGTTAATTAGGAATTTATTGTTAAGGAGGAATTTATTATTAAAAAGGAATTTATAATTAAAAAGGAATTTATTGTTAAAAAGGAATTTATTGTTGTTAAATAGGTTATTATTAAATTTTAATTTAAGCTGCTTATTAATTTCCACTTGGTATTGGTTAAAAACTTTGTAACGGAATTGGATTTGCCATATATTATGTCATTCTATTGACTTCATCAAACAAAGCATCAAATGTCAATCTTCTTTATGGATCATAAACAATCATTCTTTCAATTAAACTTGTTAATTTTGGATTTGCATTAGATTTGAGTTTATAATCTTTAGTTTTAATTTCATTCAAAAATTTGACAATTTTATTTTAAATAGGCTCAAATGGAAAACCTCCTGTCACAATACTATGTAAAAGTATGCCAAGCTTAATAAATATTAGATTAATACAGAGTAAATATCAACAACACTTTTTTGTTTTGCTTGTTTCATTGCAGCAAATTTAGTATCTAGCTCAGAATCTTAAATTAATGAATTTAATTCAGGCGATGCATAAATAGGTGTTCCTACTTTTGTAAATTTAAAGTCATTTAATTTATAAATTCTACCTATACCAAAGTCAGCCAATCTGTAGTACTTTTACAAACCAATTTTTTATATTAGAATGTTTTCTGGCTTAATATCTCTGTGAATAACATTCTAATCATAAAGGGCTCTATAACCATTCATAAATTATCTTAAAAAATCTAGAACTTCGTATTCTGAGTAAATATTTTTCTATTTCCACTCCTCTTAAAGATTAGTTTAGCATCTTTCCATAATCATAACCAGGTATGACTTTTCTTTAATATGCTCTACATAATAAATTTAGACAAGATTTTGATTATCTCTATTCTTTTAAACAATCTCTGTGATTTCTTTTTCTCTATTAATTTCTTTCTCTTAGTTTTGCTTATTGTCCTTATATATACTTGTGATCTTTTATTAATTTGAATATATACTTTGGCACATAATTAAAATGGGAAATTCCCAAATTTAGACTAGCATTCAAATACTTTGCCATAGCTACCATATCCAATCACAGCATTTGTATTGATCTCAAATTACTAATTATTCCCTACATACTACATGATGTTTAATTAAATTAATAGAAAATGATAATATTAATATGTAAATCATTAATATTAATAGAAATAAGTTATTACACAAGTTTCTATAATTGTATATTTTTTTCATTAATTAAATTGATAATATTCTTAATATTTTTATTCTATAACTTAAAATTACATATGCTCAAATATGCATTCCTAAGTCAAATTCAATAATTCAAACTTTCGATAATATTCCTTGCATTTTAATAAAAATTAATTTTCTATTTACCTATTTTTTCTTTTTTCATTATTTTGTTAGAATTGTAAATTTACAATAATTTTATAATCTAAGTTCATCTATGTATGAAGAAATTGAAAAGTAAATTAAGACTTTAATAATGAGTTATATTGATCTTAATTATGAAATTATTTTAAAAAATGAGGTATTTGATTGATTTGTTTTGTTAATTTATTATTTTACATATTAAATATATGAATTCTCTGTTTATTAATAATTTCTTTAAATCTAATTAGGAATTATATATTTTATATTTTGGCAACATTATTAATTAGTGGATATAGGTTTTTCAGATGTTATAAATAAAATAAGGTATATTATTTTAGTCAAGTTTATAATAAATTTTATTGATTATATTTATAAAAATTTGTCAGTTAATCAATACAAATGTAGAGAAAAATAGAATGCTATAATAAAGGACTATTTAATTCAATGTCATAATTTGAACCTAAATAAAGATCTAATGGTAAGACTAGTTTAGGAACTGGATCTTTTGGAACAGTTAATTTAGTATAGAATATAAAATCACAATAATTATATGCTATAAAATCCATTTAATAATGCAATATACAAACCCCATATGAATAAGAAGGAGTTGAAAGAGAAATTAAAGTCCATTTAAAGTGTCGACATCCAAATATAGTTAACTTATATGACAGTTTTATTGAACATGGGAATGTGTATATGGTATTAGAATATGCTGAGAACGGGAATTTATATAATTATGTATAGAGAAGAAAGAAATTAGAGGAAAAGGAAGCTTGTAAATATTTCATTTAGACTTGTAAAGCATTATAATATTTGCATGAAATGAATGTTTTTCATAGAGATATAAAAGTATTATATTAAATTTAATTATTAAAGCCTGAAAATTTATTACTTGATAATAATAATGATATAAAATTATGCGACTTTGGTTGGTGTGCTGAGAATATTCATTTGAAAAGAAAGACTTTTTGTGGAACATATGAATATATGGCTCCAGAAATAGTATCTGATTTGCCATATGATTATAAAATAGACATCTGGTCTGTTGGAGTATTATTATATGAATTATTACATGGTTATGCTCCATTCAAAGGAAAAGAATATAAAGAAATAGCATAAAATATTAAGAATGGATTAATTAGATATTCCAGTACAATTAATTAAGATGCATAAGAATTAATCAAAAATATATTACAAAAAGATCCTTAATTAAGAATATCTTTTAAGGATATTTACTAATCTGCATTTGTCTAGAGATGTTTTCCTTAACAATAAGGATGTATTATTAATTAAATTATATTTATAGAATTGAAAATATCAATGTCTCCAAAATCAAGTTCTTCTATAGATTAAAATTCAATCTAAAAATATCAATCTCCCTTAATTAGTCATAAATAACAACCATTTGGTAGATTAAATTAAGCTAATACAAATAATAATCTAAATAATTCTTCTTCCTTAAGTATCAAGTCTCCTAATATTTCTAAAACTAGAGTTGATTCTAAAAAGTAATAAAATGTCTTTGATGATATTAAAAAGAAGATTATCTATGAATAAACTAGTCCTTTAAGAGATGCTACAAATATGCATAAAAGAAATCAAGTTAGTTTGACTAATTTAATTAAAAGTTCAAATACTAAACTAAATACAATAAAAAGTCCATAACCAAAAAAAATTTAACTTAGTAAATATTGTTCTAAATCAAAAAACTTTGATGAAAATGGAACTGTTAAATTGTTAGAATAGTTTAAATCAATGCCATCTTTCACAATTGAAGATTAAAAATAAACATATGAGGAAGAACATAAATTTAATATTAAAACTGATAGAGTCAAAGGGTAATTATTAATTTTATCATGATTAGCTTTAAAAAAGACCCTTAATAGTCATAAGATCTTGATAAGATCTTAAAAATGTATCTAAGCATGTGTAGCAGCAGATCATGATTAATTATATATAAGATAATACTATTTTTCAATTATTCTTATTATATATTTAAAGAGTTATAATAATTACTTAAATTAATCTATTTGATTGTTAAATGTTATTAATCATATTTTTTATAGTATGTTACATAATAATAAACTAGCTTAATATGTTTAAAATTATTCTATTTAACTTTTGTTTTCTTATAAATATATTATAAGTAATATAAAATAAAAATTAGTAAATTTATATTTCTGATTCATTTAGCCATTTTTATATGTTAAAGATCTAATTTATTATTAATAAGCAACTCTCAGCCTTGATTTGACATAATGGTAATTTTGATAGTTAAGATAAGTTTTGGATGCAAATTAAATTCAAATTGAGAAATACTTAGAATTATTATCCTTAAAATAATAATCTTATAATTTCATGATTTACATTTGTAAGTTAAAATGGAAACACTAATTTAAATTAGATACTATATCTATGAAACCTAAGATTTTTTATATTCAATATAAAAGATTTTACTCTAATTCATATATTAAGATTAACAATAATTAAATCTCAAAATGTATATAAATATGTTCTTACGTTGTTCCTCAATATTGTTGGATTTGAATATGAAATAGGAGAAAACAAAAAAAATATTTCTTTTTTTTGTCTCATTTCAATATTTAATTTTACAAAAAATTAAAAAATAATAGAATGTATTCCTATAAGAATTAAATTTCAATTCTTTTAACAAAATTTTTATTTTAGATTGATTGTGACTTGCAATAAATAAAAATAAAAATATAATAATAAATTAATTGATATTAAGAAAGGATTTGATGAATGTAAAAATAATTATATAAGAACAAATTTTATCATTTGGAAATGACTATTAAATCAGCAATGATTATGGATGATGATAGAAAAATAATATAATTATAATCAAACATTTATAACATTTCAAGATATCAGTATATAATTAGCTTTATAAATTACGATATTTATAATTGTACTATTTGAACAAATTATGTTGATACTTATAAATCCGTATAATTCCATTAACATTATAATATAAAATATAAATCTTAATGAATAGCAGTGAAAGTGTTATTGGAGTGAAAACCAGATCCATGAATGTATGTGAAAGAGTGATTCAACCGAGAATCAAAAGGGACTATTGTCACATTTCTAAAGAAAAGAAAGCTTAATTGATTCAGACTGTACTGAAACAAAAATGTAAAATAAAGAAAGTAAGATATTTTCAATATGTTAGATAGCAAAGGATTTAAATATTAACTATGCAACTGCCAAAACAATACTTCATTGTTTTAAAAAAAAATAAATAGCCTTTGATGCAGATCCTGAAATCAAGAGGGTGTCTATTGGTTCAATGAAGGAAGGTTCAAAACTTTGGGTCTAAATAAAAGTAGCTGATTAGATAATTAACCATTATGAGTATTTCGATGAAATCAAGAGAATCTAATGATTGATTTTTAAACCTTCTTTATATTCAATAATCTATACATTATTATTGCTGTCACCATTCTAATGACTAAAATATGTTATATTATCATCATATAAATGGAAAAAATCTACATTTGTAAATAATATTCGAAATACTAAGCTAGAAGAAGGATTGATAATCAAAATTTATCAATAATTAAAGTTGGAAGCGATAAGCAATTGAATATTTATTGAGAAATGTACATTATTTATGATTTTATACTTTTAAAATAGAAGCCAATATAAGCTAAAAGTTTTTGCTTTAGTTCAGTGATATAAAGCAATATTATAAATTTTATTCATATTATTCAACCCATCTTAGAGATTGTTATTAAATATAATTTTATATTCTAATACTTCTCATATAATAATTTTAACAGACCATTTTATGATAATACTATTCAATATGATTTTTAACAATAAAATAAAATTTTAGTTTAATAAATCAAATTTGTATTATTGATCATTACAAACAAATAAATTAATACGTCGGCATTGTATATAACATAATATTTTTAGTATTTATTTATTCTTTATTCCTCTTTCTTTCACTTTTTAAAACAAAATATGATACTTTGAAATTTAGTACTATAATATATTCAATTTATTTATTCATAAGCCCCAAAATTAAAATTTATTTTTATTTCTGTAACAATATATATATATATATATATATATATTAGATATTCAACTATATATTAAATATAAATAACTTTTTAGGTTTAAGGATCATCTGGCAAATTTCTATCTAACATAAATCCTAAATTTATCTGACGAAATTGTATAATCTAATTAATATCCTTTATTTAATTTATAACAAAGACTTATAATTAAATCAGGTTTATTTAAGGATAATTTACTTCTAAGATTCATTCAATCACATAATTTTATTTATACTACTCAAAATACCATTTATTATACTAATTAATTAATAAAATCAATTTAATACTAAATTGTGTAAATTATAATATGAAATTTTAATAATAAATGAAAAATAACAATTAAAAACATATTTCATAATGGAATATGTTAGAATGCGATCTTATTAATTAAGAGTTCGAAGAACAACATCAAATCATTGTACCATAATTTCCAAAATTCAAAAAGCCAACCTATAATTAAATACAAATAACTACTAATATCTAATACAGAATTAACGTTTGTTCCCCTGCTAAATTAGATGATACTGTTTCAATAAGTACAAAGAAGTCAACTACAAATGTATAGTATTTGATATAATCAAGTAGAGTTAAGCTGGCAGCTGCAATTATATAGTTAACCATTACATTTAATAAATTAAAGATCATTTTAATAAAAATACAAGGTAAAAGCATTGATTATAATTTATAGATAAGAAACAGAAGCTTAAATTATTAGAAATTTAATATCCTAAAAAGCTAAAGCTGTTTATATGTTAGATATAAAATGGGCAGCCAATTATACTGCATTTTTATAAAATTAACATCTGATCATTCCATCTGAAATATCTAATAATAATCTATTTGTTGATAGTGACATTCGAAATCCATATAGATAAAACCTAAAATAAGATTTGGATTTTGTTTTAATGAATCGCAACACTTGGCAATTTTTGATAGCAATTTATGGAGGAGGACCAGAAATCATATTTAACGATTATTTAGGAATCAATAATGAATCTTAAGTAAACTCAAGGGAAGGATCATTATAAAATATAGATATTAGTACTTATAATAGTTAAACATTTTAAAAATAAAAATTTATATTACCAGCAATAGGTTTATATAATGAGAATAATTTCTGCTTTTTGCATGCAGCAATACAGAGCTTGTTGTCTATAGAATAATTAACTTGTTGGGTATCAATTGAAGGGAAAACAAAAAAGTAAGAAGATTATAAATGGATTTTATCTTATTACTAAATTATAGATCAAATTTAAAATTGTAAAAAGGGATAATATGTTAAAATTGATACTTTGAAGTAATTAATTAAAAATCAATTTGCTCCTAATTTATAACATGATTGTTAAGAATTTTTATGTTATTTAACAGATCAATTAAACAAAGAGTTAAAGTAGAATAAATATGATTAAGCAATAACTGAAATCTTATTTTAAGGTTAAATGATGCAATAAATTTAGTGTAATTAATGTAAATAAACTTCTTCAAAATTTGAGTCATTTTTTGAATTATCTTTATCTATGAATAATATGAAAGGTTTAAAATAATGTTTAATCTAATTTTTTGAATAAGAAGTATTAGATGATGATTATATGTGTAATTAATGTAGTAGAACAACAAAAGCAATAAAAAAATATATGATTGGAACACCTCCTTAATTTCTAATTATTCATTTAAAACGATTTTAGGAAAAGAAATTACATAATTATATAGAATTTTAAAATAATTTAGATATAAGTGAATTTTGTTCTGTAAAAGCACAATATAAATTAAAATCTGTAATTGTACATTATGGAACTTAAGAAAAAGGACATTATGTAAATTTCTCCTTAAGAGGAAATTAAGTAAAATTTAAGATTAATTAAAGTGGTATTATTTTGATGACCATCGAGTTTAATTTGCTAGAGAGTAAGATGTCCTAAGATAATAAGCTTACATTCTATTTTTTGAAAGATCAGATGATTAGTTACTATGAATTAATTATTTTCCATATCAATTTTTATAATAATTATTTTATTTAATAGTTTAATCAAACTTTGCTAATGCCAATTTACTCTTCATTAAGGCTTCTTCAATTCTATTTTCTAATAAGCTTCTTTAACTTTTATTATTACTCAATTATGATTATTAAGAAAAATAACTAGTGTCTAATACTTTTTCTTTATTGAATTATGATTAACTTTATATATTAGGTTTAGAAGTGCTATTCAATTAATTTTTAGATGCTGATATGGATGGAGGTTTTCTATTAGTTTAAATTGGAGATGAATCAGGAGTTTAATATTATACAAATGATTTTGATTATTATTGTTAATAATAATTATTATCTTATTGTTGTATTAATTTATTACTAAATAATTAATTATTTCTATTGATTTCTTGACTTTCAGACTTTAAAGTAATTGAACCTATTAAGGATATTTATTTTTAAAATTATTATATTTTATTCTATTATAGATTTTATTTTTGCTTCTGACTTGATTAATTATATGAAGATTATGATTAATACTCATATTCATCAAATTAATGATTAGTTGGAATTGAATCAAGTTTCTATATTTTAAGAAGATCTTCATTTTTTTCATATTTATTTAATAAAAGTAATAAAGATTCTAAAGTACCTCTTTCAGATGGATTTATTTGAAGCATTTTAATTAAAAAAGTCTTAAAGTTATCAGTGTATTACAATTCTGAAATTCTTAAATATAAATCTTGTTCATTTAATTTCCATTCAATTTTATTAAAGAGTGTGGAAGGATCATTTAAAGATGCTGCCCATAAAATAGTTAAGCCAGATTAAAAGATTTAGCATTATTCTGGATTAAGATTATTAAAATTTGATTAATTTTTAAAAAGTGCCAATTCTTCTGGAGATATATGATAATCTTCAGTAATTTAATTCAGTAATTATTAGAATGATGTCATATGATTATCAAAAAGAGAATTGAATTTCAGATTCCCTTAATTTGAAATAAATAAATTTCTTATTTCCATAGGATAAATGCCATTTCTTTTTAAATAATGTAAAACATCAAGTATTTAATAAGAAAGAGACCAAAGTTATGATTCAGTAAAATATTAATTTTTCTTATATCTATTAGTTATGATTGTATTTAGATCGTTATTTATGTATTCATACACTATATATAATTTTGTAAATGTAGAACATACTTCCTTGTAATAAATTAATAATTTACCTTATATGTGGAAGCAGAATAATAATGTACTTTTAACAAATTAGGATGATCAAGTTTTTTAAAGGGTTTAGTTGATTAAGTTTGTATTTTTTCAATTACACAAACTAATTCCCCAGTCTCATTTTTTTAATATAATTTAACTTCTCCAAATCTAGGATCTATGATTTCTTGTAAATATTAATATTAAGAGAAGTTAAATTGATATGTAGAACTGCTTGTTCCCATATTTTATTGTTAATTTTTTATATAATAAATTTCAAAATGTAATTTATGTTAAAACAATTACATTTGCTAAACACTCTTCATTTTTAGAGAAGGTGTGTCTTTCTCCTTCATAATTTGGATGATCATAGATTGTAAGAGTTGTTCCATAAGGAATCTTCAAAGACTTAATTTCATATGGAAAATCTCTAAAATATGATAAAATTGAATTACTTCATTTAACCAAGATCATTACAAGCTTTCATGGATTCCCCTTTATAATAACATTAACTATATAATTCAATACATTAAGTTATTTGTCTAATTATATTATAAAATATTACTCTTCTTAAACATTATTTATGTTATTTGGATCTTCAGAAGAGATTTCTTATTAGATATTAACTTATTTTGGACCTGAATAATCTGATTGCATTTATGATTAATTTTCAACAACAATAATTTTAGGTTGTACTTGATTTTCATCTTTTTGTAATTAATTATCAATAATAATAGTTTAATCTTATTGATTAGTTTGTTCTATTTGATTTGGTTATACTTCATATTCAGATTAAGTGAATTATTATGCAATTTAATCTTAATCCATATAAGTTAGATCTGGAACATCATTTGATTAAGCAATCAATTATTAAGAAACAGAATCACTTACTTGTAATGTATCATTATTTTCAATTGAATCATCATCATAATAATTATTTTCATTATTGTTTGTATATTAAACATTCTATTGATCTGTAATTTCCTATTAGATTTCATCATTAACATTCATAGTTTCTGATACATAATTTTCATTTTCATCAGTAATATTTTATTAAGTATCTAATATTTGATGGTTCTCATCAATAATATTATTGTTATCTAATTAGCCAATCAATTTTAAATCCTACACTATATTTTAACTAGCATCCTATATGATTTCATTATTATTCTAATCATCTTCAAACTTTCATAAATATCAAATCTAATACATAAGCACTATTTAATGGTGTTTCATCATCTAATGATTATTATTACTCTAATTTCTCAGATGGTTCTAATTAATTAATCATTAAATCACTATCTTATACTGCTAAAATCTGAACATCTTTATTTTAACTCTTCTCATCAACAACAACTTATAAATTCTCTGATGTATATTAAACATCATTCTCTTGACTAAAATTCATTTTATCAAATACTCTTCTAGTTACAAAAATCTCTTATGTACTGGAATACCTTAACAAAATACTAAACAAATGAGTAAAACAATCACGACCCTCATTTATATTAAAACGGATTTGAATAAATATATATATATATATTATATAAAAACTTAACTTAATATAAATAAATATTTCTTACTTATTAAAAATTCATAATTATTTCTTTATTTTCATATTTAAATATTAAATTTACAATTAATTTGTACTAATTTAAGTCTAATATTATTGTAATTCAAAATTAATCTTATCATTATATATCAATTAGTAAAAAAAACAAATAAATACTTAAATTATTTTTGGTGAAATATATATAAATTATGTAGAAGTACAATTAAACATTTGAAAATTAAGAATAATTAGAAATGGAATGGAATAAAAGTGAATTTATATTAAAAGAATAGAAACTTTATTGTTAGAAATAACAGTATCAATAAATTTTTTAAGAGGATTAAATTAATTTTTTTATAATAATAATAATTTATATATCATAATTTTTATAAATTAGAGATTGAGTCTTTTACATTTTCTATTTCCTGTTCACTTAACCAATTTTTTCTTTACCCATTTTACCATATTCCAATTTTATATTATTATTCATCTTAATAATATATTCCTAAACCATTTTATTTACCATCATCCCAAGTACCAATATATTTTCTGCCATCCCCAAAATAAAATATTCCATTACCTTACTTTTTATCATTTTCATAAATCTAGAATAGATATTATGGTTAGCATTACTCCTTTGAAACTTCTTCCATCTGGCCATTTGAGAGTTCCTTCTCCATGCATTTTATTATTTTGCCAATATCCTATATATATTCGTCCATCCGCCCATCTATAAGTTCCAAACCCTGAAATTTCATTATCAACAAAACTCCCTAAAAATAAAAAAAATTAAATTCACCTTCATAATTTGCACCATCAGTAAATGTAAGTATACCCTGACCATTTTTTTTTCCAAACTTATAATCTCCTTAATATCTAGCTCCATCTGGCCATGACTCAAAACCTTTGCCATGTTAATTATCATTTAACCAATCGCCTTCATATTTAGCTCCATTTATATGAATATAGATTCCTTTTCCACATGCAGTATCTTCAATCCATTCACCATCATATATGTCACCATCAGAATGTATCAATTTACCCTACAGTTATTTCTTTATTAGATACATGTCCATTTGATTTATCTTGTTTCCATTACCCTTCATATATCGATCCATCTGGCCAAATCTATTTTCCAAATCCATCTCTCATTCCATTCAACCATTATCCTTCGTATTTAGTTCCATTAGGCAATTACATTAACTCATTTAGAATATTCAGCTTACAGGTAGAGTTTTTCTCTCAGATGATTATAATGTATCTATAACTTGATCTGGCATTCGAGCCTAAGTTTGTATCAAATTCTTAGACAATTCCTAAATCGAAATCTTGCTATTGATTGAATTTTTGAGTATCCCTGAATCTAAATCTTTTTGATTGGGAGGCTCAATTTTATCTGAAGTCTTGTCCTAATAATTTTTATTCTATTTGATAGATATTTGTATCGAATGAGATGAGATCTTTAAAGAAGTGACTTCTTCTTTCTAATAACAAGCCGTTGCACATTTGCATTAACCCATCAATTTCAATTTATTAATATATTTATGATAATCATGTATTTCTGGGATCAATTATTTGTATCTAATTCATCTATTTTATTTATTTTTGATCCTTCATTATTTTGCTTAAAAAATAGAGAACAAACAATGAACTGTTCTGAAAGAAGTTTGATTTGATATTTTTTAGAACATAATTTAATGATCTAATTTTTGGGATTTTTATATATCTATGAATTCAAATAGTATATTTATAATCAGAAAGTGAATGTATTATTAAGTTATTTAATGTTCTTGGAATATAGCTCATTATTCTACATATTTATGTATATGATCATTATATATTTTATATATTAATAATTTTTAATATAAAATGAAGAATAACATAATGTTTGGAGGAATTTCATTTAATTGTGGCGATCGTTACAAACTTATAAAATTAGTAGGAACAGGAGCTTATGGTTCAGTAGTGTTAGCATACGACTTATAAAACAAAAATCATAAAGTATGACTTCTATTGTTATATTTAATTAGGTAGCAATCAAAAAGTTAAATGTAATAGAAGATGCTATTGATGCAAAGAGAATCTTAAGAGAAATAAAAATTTAAAGATCAATGAATCATCATAATATTCTCAAAATTTATGATATAATATATGATTAGAAATCTGAATTCTTTGGAGACATTTATATTGTTAGTCCATATTTTCCAGCAGATCTACATAAAATAATAAAAAGTAATTAAGATTTATCAGTGGAACATGTTTAATTCATTATGTATCAATTATGCAAAGGACTTTACTATTTACATTCGTCAGGTTCTATTCATAGAGATATAAAACCTGGAAACATTTTGGCAAATGAGAATTGTGAAGTTTGTTATTGTGATTTTGGATTTGCTAGAAAAAAAGATGAAATATAAGATTAAATAGATGAAAATATGACAGAATATGTAGTTACTCGACATTATAGAGCTCCTGAAATTATGTTATCAAGTTAATAATACTCTCAACCTGTTGATATATGGTCATTAGGATGTACATTTGCAGAATTAATGACAAGAAAGATATTATTTAATGCTCCTAATTATATTTAAATGATTAAGATGTTTTTTGATATATTAGGTAGACCATCAGATGAAGAACTTAATTAATTAGTAACTAATGAAAATGCTTTGTCTTTCATAGAAACTCTACCACATAAACCAAAATAACCAGCCTCAAAGAGTGTGCCATTTCCTGATGCTAAAGCCAGAGATTTATTGGATTAGATGTTAGAAATGAATCCAAAAAATAGAATTACTGCTTAAAAAGTTTACATTATCTTACATAAGTGTTTAGAACATCCCTTTTTTGAGTCTATAAGAAATTAAGCCGAAGAGATAACATTTACAGGAAATCTTGAGTGCGATTTTGAAAATGATGATGCCATTACATTAGAGTAATTGAAGTATCTAATTCTAATTGAAATTAATCACATTAAAGCCAAAAATAAGGAAGAATAGATTAATATAGAAGAAGAAATGAAAAGAATTGGAATCATTTAATAATATCATTAATGATAATATAAATAAATAATAATATCATTATTAAATGAAACTAATCGAAATTGTGTAATTGATTGAATAATACTAAAAGGAAGAAAATAATCATCAAATAGTATACCTTATATCTCTTAAGTATAAATCAAATATATTAAATAAATTAGTTGGGTTAAAAAATTTATAGATTCTGTCAAATTAGATGGTAAAGAAAACTTACCAATGAAACCTATTAATCATGATATAATAGATGAATTAAAAACTAATATTCTTTAGTAATACAATTTAAATTAATTAGATATTAAGATGAAATATATAACTCATTTTTAAAAGATAATTTAAGATATAATGTCGATTACATTTATATAAATGAATAAATATGGTCATATTTGAATGTAATATTGTTAATAATAATAAGACTCTTTATGGTGGTTATTGTATTAAAAGATAAATTACAAATTAAAATTAAATCAATCAATTATTTAATTTTCATTTTATTCCTGTTCATCAATCATAATAATATTATATTGAAGGAATATAATAATTTGATACCTCTTGGAATATTTAATAAATAATTTCACATATAGAACAATCATTATAAAATTAATTATCTTTCTAAATACCAAGAAAAAATTTCATTAAATTATATACTCTCAAAAATGAAAATTAAACTAATTTTGTATAAATTATTAAAGAAATCAAAACTAAAAAGATTGAATTAGAAAAAATAGAAGATTTAGCTTAATTGCATAATAAAAAATATATAATAATGGATATTAAATTGTTTAATAAAGAATTCTTCTTTGAATAAACTTTACAAATCAATTAAGTTAAAAATGAAGATTTATTAAATTAAGAATATATTGAAAATTGTAGAAAAGGTTTATCTATATTTGAGGATCAATAAACATTATTAAGTTGTATGCTTAAATGTTATGAAAATATAGATATAATTAGAAATGAAATTATATATAATTCTAACGAAAAATATTAAAATTTATAAGAAATACTAAAAGAATCATATTTTGGATTTAGTGAATATGTATATTATGAATTGTTAGACTATGAATTTTTATAAGAGAAATAAGTGATTATCACAAAATCTAGATATGATGCTGTGTATATTTACAATAATGAAAACAGAATAATAATAAATAACTAAAAGAATATAAGATAATTAGTTGAATCTCTATTGAGTCATCCTTAATTATAATGTGATTTTAATTCAGTGTTATTTGAAAGCAGCAATGAATATTATACTGAAGATATTGATTTTACAAAACCTGCATATAGTTTAAAGGAAGGTTATAAATATTAATTGAGAAAATTAATGTGGTAAGAGCATAATATTAATAATGAAGATAGAATAGAAATTAGAGTTCATCCATGCACTTATGAAAATATTGGTTATCAATAATATAAACCTTTTAGTCCTATATTAAAATGTTATATAAGTTAATGGCATAAATTCTAAGATTTGCATTTATTAATAGCTAACTTATTTGAGGAAATAAATTTTGATAACTATAAAGAATTTAGATTAAATAAAAAATATAGTTTATATTTTTAAACAGATTAATAGGGATAAACAAAATGTACATTTTGTAAATAGAAATTATGTAATAATTGTTAAGTACCTTTTAATGAAAAAGCTTTGAATTTTGGTAGAAGAGTGATTAATATCTATGTGATATATTAAGAAATTCAACCTATAGTTTCTCGTTTTTAGCCACAAATATTTGATAATTATTTTCTTAGAGATTATTTTGAAGTAGATTGGGCTTAAGATAAGATTTTAATTTTGAACATAAATTAAGAATAAATAAAACCTTATAATATTAGATATTATTTTGATTCAAGTATATACTTATTTAATATTTAAGATCTTTATTAGTTATAAGGAATTATAGAGAAAGTATCATAAAATGAATATTAATGTTATTGTTGGAAATAGTAAAAATGGTATAATTTCACACAAAATAAATACTAGATGTTAGATTATGTAAATGATGATTTGAATGTAGTTAAATTGTTTTATATAAGAAAATGATATGATTATTGATTTTATAATATTTAATTAGAAATAATATATATAATAATGAGAAATAGAAATGAATTTGGATAATCATTTAAAATGAATGCACAAATACCAAAAATAGATAAAACTCCAGTTAAAAGAAGAAGTTGTGAATGTTCTGAATGTGGTTTAGTAAATAAAAAAATGAAATATATTGGATCTATTATTTAATAATTTCAACCATATTTCAATGTAGCTTATAAATTATTTGAAAATGAAAGAAAGAATTAGGAAAAATAAACTAAAATTCAATAATAAAAATAGTTAAGGTTAAGAAATAAGAGACATAATCATAATAAAGATATGTTAAAAAGAGCAGTCAATGTTATTTCATTTTAAGAAACTTTTACTAATAATAGAAAAAGAAATGTAGAACTACCTCCTATCAATATGAGCTCTTTGAAAGAGATTAAAAATAATTAATCCAGTAATTTACTATAGATTTTACCTCAAAGAAAAATGTGGGATAAACGATAAACTACAATAAAGTTTCAATATAAATAAAATATTGGTCATAATCAAAGATGTTACTTGCCTGCTACTCCATTAGATTCTCATCTTGTCTTTAGAATTAACAAAGTCATTTACTAATCATTTATTTTAAAACATCAGTAAGGAACAGTTGATGATTTTAATTTTAAATTACGAATCAATGTTTTTGATGAAAAATAAGAACCTTTACCAATTAAGCATTAATTATTGGTTCCTACTATTAGATAAGAAGAAGACTATGATGAAGACGAGTCTATGGTAGAATCAATTCAATAGATGCCTATAAAACATAAACCTAATAAAGATGAATAATATAAGCAAATATTGAAATATAATAAAAGAAGTTTTGCTAATTTAGTTGAATAGGCCTAACTTACTGAAAGGAAAGCTATTCAAAATTTAATTAAAATTAGTATAGATATACATCTTAAATAGATAATAGTCATAAAATATTACCATTAATATTTGATTAATAACCATTACCAATTTACATGATACATAGTAATTATTTAGATGCTCAAAAGACATCCAAAAGTAATAGGCTTATTAAATTAGAAAAATTATAGCCAGCAATTTTAAAGTAATAAAAATACTAAATTTTAGATCATAAAGTCAGCATGTTAAGATAATAAATAAACATAAAAAGAACTTAACAGCTGGTTCAGTATTATTAAGATTATGAATTTCTTTTTTAAATGTTCCATAAATAGTTGATTATATGAATTAATAATATCTAAATATATTATTTTATTATTCTGTACTATAATTTAATTTAAATTGTAATATAAATCTATGAGATATATGATTAAATGTAATAATATGAAAAGTTAATAATAAATTCATTAATCAAAAACATTAATTGCAGAACGAGAAAATTTCATTTTTTCATCTTTAAATTTAGCATCAAACCCTGATAAATTTAAGTATTTTTATTCTAAAGTTGGATGGTTACTCATATTCTCTTCAATATCATCAAAATCAACAGTTTCACTATGTAAATTAAAATCCAAATGAGGTTAACTTGCAGCAATTTTGATAGGAGCTTATGATGATTATTTTAATTATACAGCATCCTGAAAAGATGGTACATATTTAACTACATTAGAAGATGAAGATCCTTAAATTTAATTAAAAAAATACCAAGATTTGAAATATTTGATTATTTTTTAGTATTAGATCTTTAAGCACCATCATTTCCAGGAACAGCTAAAAATGAACCTTAAACTTTAACTTCCAATACAGAATCTTTATTTTATTATTTATCAGACCATTCAAATTAATTATCATATGTATTAGGATTACTACATTGTTTCATTAATGATTTAAGCATATCATAATCAGGTTAATCTTCAAACCCTAAATTTTTTAAATATCTTTATAATTAATAAAATTAGAATACCTAAGATAGTCAGCAAATTGTATTGGTAATTCTTTACATAAAGTTTCAATGGTTGTACTCATTTTTACTTCTCCAACTGCAATAGTTCTATCTTTATCACCAATATTTTATAAATTCTACCATGGTAATTTACTTAAAATTATAATCAAAAATTACCCTAAAATTAGGTAGATAATGACATACATCATAGATTCTAGATCATCCTTTCTACTAATTTCAAATCCTTTATGAGCAGCAATTGAAGCATATCTAGTAGTTCCAATAAATGATTTTCTATCTTTAAACGAACTCTTATTATATTATAAACTTACATATGTTTGCCCTTGTCTAAAATTAATTTTGAAACACCAAAATCAACTAAATAAACAATAGATGTATTTTATTTTCCCATCATTATGTTTTCTGGTTTTAAATCTCTATGCACTATTCCTCTTTAATGCACTGATTTAAATATAGACAATAATTAATCTAATAATTGCAATCCCGTTTTTAAAGACAATTATTTATATGTTCGATTATAATATCCTAAGTCTTTTCCCAATAATTCAACAACCATTACATTATAATTTTATTCTGCTCCAAACCAATAAAGTTTTGTTATTCCTTATATTCCTTATAATTTAGTCAGTAAATAAACTTCTCTATCCAAAGTTTCATGTTCTCCTTTTTCTAATTTGACTGCTACTTCTTCTCTTGTTATTTTATGTATTGCTAAATAAACAACCCCAAAAGATCCAGAGCTGAGTTGATTCTTTATAATATATTTGTTATCAAAAATTTTAGGTTCTAGATAGGTGCTCGGTAATTTTTTCATATTTAATATTTATATTCAGGAATCAAATAAACAAGAATATGATGTTCTGATAATTTTAATTCAAATAAGAAATGTCATGTATATTTACAATCAAAATCATATATACTATGTAAGATGTTCAAAATATACATAAATAATACTCCATATATATATATTTTATGTCTATTATCTTATTTTTATTAAATAATTTCAAACATATCTATTTTTATATTATTTCTAACTTATAATACTTATAATATATAAATTCACAATCTTATTCTTAATTCTTCATATAATATTATCTAACAATATTATTTATAAAAGTATACTTTTTTGTTTAATTATTTCTGTTAAATTAAATTATATTCAATTGAAAATCAATTCTACATTATTTTGTATATATTTTTCATTTAATTAGTTTTTGTCTAATCTTCATTTAACAATCAAATAAAATCTTATTAAATAAATAAAAATTTAATTCATTTTTATAATAAATTTTTTTTTTATGCTTCCTAAAAATACCATTAGTGATGTTGGCACTCAAGTATTAAAATAATATAAAAAAATGTATGAAGAAATATGTTATTGCTTAAAATAAGAAAAAGAAGCTTCAATTAAGGAACTTGAAATATGGAAGGATAAATACGATACTCTCTAAAAAAGATGTGATATTCTTAATTCATCAAAAGATAAATAAGATTCAAAGATAAAATAAGATTTGAATGATCCTAAAACTTTAAATTAAGTGCCAAAAATATCTGGACATCAATAAATAAATTTATAACCAAATGCAGAAAAATAATAATTTTAGATATTAATTCAATAACTCAATGATTAAATAATCAAATAAAAAAAATAGATCTAAGATTTAAATGATAAAAATGAAAAACATTTAATTGATAATAAAAAACTAGAAATTGAAAATAAAAAATATTCTGATTAATTAAATCAAATTAGAAAATCATCTCATCATAAAATAAATGATCTATAAATGTTATAGTATGAAGATAATATATAAAAATTTATTTAAACTATTGATGAAATGAAAAAAGATAAAAATAATTATGAAAAATAGCTTGAAAAATTAACAAAAGAAAACTAAATTTTAATTTAAACTAATGATGAATTAAGAAAAGTTATTAATGATCATGATAAAGTTTAATAATAAAAAAATTAGTTTTAATTATAATTAAGTGAATTTGGATTAAAAAACAGTCAGCTAGAGAAATTAGTTAAAGATTTAGAAAAATAATAATAGCATTAATAAGATTTACATTAATAAACTACTAAATAAATTGAAGATAAATAATAAGAAATAGAATTACTCTAAAATAAAATTTAGGAATATTAAAAAGAACTATCAAATTTAAATTAACTTTAAGAAATATATGATGAATAACAATAATAACTTTAATAATTAGCTTAAATAATATAAGAATTAGAAGGAAAACTTTAAGAATCTACTAAATTAAAATAAAATGAATCTGGTAAGAAATAATTATCATAAAAATATGATGAATTATATTAATAATATTCAGATTTGTAAACTTAAGATATAATGAAATAAGAATGGCTTAATTTATAAAAATCTTAACTTGAAGATCTAAAATAAGAAAATGAATAATTAAATCATAAAATAGATGAAGTACAAAAATAAAATAATATTTTGATTAATCAACTTGAAATGAATAAAGATGATACCAAATTATCATTTAGTTAATTACAAGATTAAGTTAATTCATATGAACATATTGTATCTGATAAAAACATAGAGATTAATTAATTAAAATTAGAATTAGCAAAATAAAAATGTAATTTATAAAATGATGATTATGAAGAAAAGATAAAATAATTGAATACTTAATATGAAAAATTAGAATCTGAATCAAAAATGAAAATAGAATGGATGGAAATTTAAAATTCTGAGCTAGAAGAAACTATTAATGAATATGAAAAAAAAATATAAAATTTTGTAGAATAATTAAGTTAATAAAGCAAAAACAATCCAAAAGTAGATAATAGTGAAAAGATTGCTGAACTTAAGGAACATATTAATTAATATGAACTTATAGTTAATAATAAAAATATTGAAATTGATGAATTAAACAAATAAATTAAAGAGATAAATTTAAAATAAAATGATGAAGACTTTTAAAAGAAATATTAAAATTTAATAACATAATATGAAAAATTATAAACTGAAAATCAAATGAAATAATAATGGTAGAGTATTTTAGAAGAGGAATAATAAGATTAAATAACTTAATTAAATGAATAATTAGCTTAAATATAAAATATAAATTAATCAGAATAGATATAATAACTTTAAGATCAATTGTTATAAATGAATGAAATGAAAACAATTTATGAACAAAAATTACTAGATTAATAAACACTCATATCAAATTTATAAAAACAATTAGAGTAAACATCTGATTAAGAATATTATCAAAAGATGAATTAAATTTTATAAGAGAATGAAGAACTAAAATAATTGAGAAGTGATAATTAAGAAGAATTAAATAAAAAAGACCAAATGATAGAAGAATTATAAATGTAAATGCTATCATAATCATAAGTAACAGGAAGTTCAGGTATTCAAAATTCTTATAAATATATATAGACTTGTAAGAAAGAAAAAGAAGATAAGAATTATTGGATAAAGTTAAAGATGATAAATCTGAAAATTCAGCATCTTCAAATGAATAATCAATAAAGAAAATTGATAAATAGACATCAGAAACTAATGAAAAGTAATCTCCAAAATTAGATTAAACCCAAGATATATCTTAACCTTCGAAACCAAAAAGTGCTAAGAGTTTAGATTTTCAAGAGTGAATTATCATATTTTTATAAAAATAAATGTATGATCATGCCTTCTTAGGTTTGAATGCAATTGCTGCTAATTTTAATACTCCAAATAAAATGGCTGCTTTAAATACTTCTTTCAATTATTTGCTTCTGAATTCTCTTGTTGCTTACTATTTCTCTTATTAGGGTTAAAGGAAGAACATATTAATTGTATATTTAATTTTATTTATGATAAGTAATTAATATAATGAATTTATGAATACTGAATTTGATATAAGAGTAGTCATACTTAAGAGTTAAGCTTTAATTAATTTTGAAATCAATTACAAAAAGATAAAATAATCAATGCCATAAATAACTTAAATATAATCAAAAAAATGTGAACATATTGTTAATTCTGTTGATAATAATAACTAAAATATTATGTTGAAAAAAGTAAATAATTAACTTCATATAATCTTTATTGGATAATTTAACACTTCAATTAAGCAACATAAAAAATATAATTATATTCACATATGACAATTTGTAATAAACAATATATTAAATTAATCTCATTGTCGAAAACTTTATATTTATATTAAATCGTCAATATAGTATCAAGGACTTAAGGAAATTAATAAATATTTTAGAAGTATGATATAGTCTAATAGCAATTTTATTTGTTGCAGTTTTTTCAAAAGAATTAATCATAATTTCAAATGTATTATAGAAGGAATTTTTAGTTTCTAATAAAACAACATTTGGTGTTGCGTATTATAAATTAAATAAGAACTTATTGAAAAGAAAAATGATATTTAGAATAGTTGTATAATCAATCTCATAGAAATATGAGAATACACATTGAAATAGATTAAGTGAAAATATTAACAGTTTTCTTTGGGGGTTACGGAATTGTTTTAATAAAACAATAAATATATTTAATAAAATCTTAAAGATTATTTTGAGAAGGATGAGATATGTAGAAATTATATAAGGAATATCTATAACTTCTCAATTTATATGAAAATGGTTTTAAAATCAATTTTGTTTATAGAAGTATGAGACATTTAATTATTACACAAACCAACGAGTTAATTAAGGTATTGTAATTTTAATAAAGCAAGTAAAATTCAATTTAATTTGAAAAGATACCATCCATCATAAATAATGTATCAAAATTTAATTTTTCATAATTTTATTAGAATATTATAATTGGATAAAATTAGATAAGTGATTATTGAATAGAGAAATTAAGAATTTAAAAATAAGCTCTTGATAAAGGTAGTATTAATGAATTATTAATCGATAAAATGGGAGTAAAAAAATAAAAATGTATTGTTAATTGGATGAAGAATTAGTTGAGAAAAATGTTTATTGGAAGTAAAAAAAATAAAAAAATTTGATTTTATTCATAATTATACTATTATCATATTATTTTCTTAGGAATAAGAAGATTGTTCTACTGTATAATTTTACATTTAGGAAATGCTACTAAATTAATGATTGTATTTCTTGTAGTTAATCTTTGAGTGTTTATTGATGGAATTGAGCCTCTATCATGAATATCTGCTTTACTTCTAAATGTTCCTGACTCTTAGACTGAATCATTATTAATTCTATTTAATCCTAAAAAAAATGAAGATTCAGTTTTTCTAAATGAATTCTGCTTTATTATAGGTACCTTATTAATTTTAACAGGACTTAGAGAAGTCTATGTGGATTCTGATAATGCAGGAAGAAGAACCTTTTTTGATTGAACAATTTTAAGATTTTTTTTTGGAGATTCTGGATCAATGGGAATGATTGCTTGTTCATTATCTATACTTAATTATTAATGAAATTTGAAAATTTTGAATTCTTGAGTAGATTCATTAGTTTGATTAAGAATTGCATTTAAGCGATAATGCTTATCTTTTTAAGGTATGTTATTGAGAGTTCTGTAAGATTTGAATATTTTATTAGGTCTAGTTATTGATAATTTGTTTAAGAATTATTAATTTCTTGGACTAATTGTATCTATATTTTGTTGATCATAATTATCTTCATCAGATTCAGCAATAGATATCTTAAATTCAGTAAGATCTCTTCTAGATTAAATTGGAGATTGTTTGATTGATCTTCGCTGTAATTAAATTATAAACAAAATAGATTATAATTATTAAAATATCTATAATGATTATAAAAAAATACTTTTTTTTTTAATTCTTAACATATTCCGAATTGTTTAACACTCATAGGAATAGGATCATTAAATTTTCGAGTAATCCATGGATGAACTAATGCTTAAGATGCTGTATATCGAGAGTCTTGATCAAATTATAACAATCTATATAAGAGATCTCTTGCAAGTGGAGATGCATGTAAAGGTTGTTCATATTTTAAATCAGGGAAACTGTTAATGAATTCTTTTTTAGTAAACATTCTTGGATAAAAAGGATGTTTTCCTTGATTTAGAAGCATATAAAGTACAATACCACATGACCACATATCAACAGCTTTATTATATGCTTTATTTAAAATTTATTCAGGTGCCATATATATAAAGGTTCCACATTATTATGAAACAGTCTAATAATAACGAATCTCAGGTTTGTATTAATAACTTAAACCAAAGTCAGCAATCTTAATACTAGAAAGATCCTCTGTATTTTTAATTAAGATATTATCTAATTTTGTTATATATCATAATACCAGGCTTAATATCTCGATGTATAATCTACTTAGAATGAAGATATTAGATTCCTTCAAAAATAGAATGCATAATCTAACTGATGATTGACTCTTCTAAACTTTTTTTCATCAATTCATTCAATGAACCTCCAGCTGCATATTCCATCACTAAATACTAGCAATTTCCATGTTTGTAATACTATAACTATATTTAAATTTGACAACTTAATATAATTTTATAATGTTTTTGTGCTTGAGACTTTCCATAATTGATGTTTCTTAAATTTATGCACCTTACATGAACTAAACAATTTAACTAATCTTACCTTTATTGCCACTTCTTCTTACTTATATAATCCCTTATACACTTAACCAAAGGCTCCTTCCCCAATCTTTTCTTAGATTGTGATGTCTTTTTCAAGGAAAAAATCATGTCTCATATATTTAATTATTATTTAATTGATCAATCCTAACTCATCAATTCTTATTATAAAATTCATTACATTAAAACTTATGTTCAAATTCTATAATTAATACAAAAAATGTATAAGATTCATCAATATTCAATTAAAAATTAAGAACCAATTTTTTAAAAGAGACCAAATTCAGTATAATTTAATTTAACAATTATTACGTAATGAAAAACATAATCAACAGTTTCTCACCTTTTATAAACAGAAATTCCAATATTCGAAATGAAAACATTGAATTTAAGAAGTAACTTTTTCATTTTGAACCTCTTAATCTTAATACTTAACTAATAAATCAAATAAGAATTAAAGTAGAAAGAACATTATCTCCAATTTCTAATTAGAATAAACATGCTCTCTTCTTAACTAAAATTAATGTTTAAAAAAAGGCCTTGAAAAAAATCAAACTCAAATAAAACATAGATTATAAATTATTGCAAGAATTAGATTTCAATGCTAAACTATAATATCTATAACCACTTGTTCTTCCTTCTACCAATAGAAGTCATAAGAAAGACAATAATTAATCTAAAAGATAATAATGTAATGATATACTCTAATTTTGCAACTCATAAATAGAAACTGAAAGAAAAATTTAATCTAAAATTAATATACGTCTACCTAAAATTCATAAGAGTATAGACATAAATTAATCAAGAAGTTCTCTCAATAGTTGGACTATGAATAGCTCTTCCAGTCTATTCTAAATTAATAAATGATATATATATTAAATGTAGAAAAAAAATAAATTGAAAAATTTCTAATTTATTAATATTGATTAGATCTGTATAATTCATGATGGCTATCAAAACAATCCCAATCTTTATTTGTGTCTTTATACTTTTTTAGTTTGCAACGTTGAACGATTCTATATTAATCAACATAATCCAGTACTTTGATCCATGGATGTTTTAATGCTTCATCTAAAGATATTCTTTCATCAGGATCTTTATTTAATAATTTTGTAATTAAATCTTTTGCATCATCTGATATCTATTACCAAAAACTATCACTTAAATCATAATTGCTATCCAAAATATTTTTAATAATATCTTCAGGAAATGAAGCATCAAAAGGTAAAAATCCTTAAATAAATTATAGATTATTATACCAGATAATAAAAAATAAAGAATAACACCCAAAGCAAAGTTATCAACTTTGAAATCAATTCTTTTTTATGATAACGTTTCTGGTGCTAAATAATTAGTTGTGCCACATAAAGCTTCACCTTCTTTATTTTAAATATTAGTTAAAAAATTTGCAAATCCAAAATCTATAATCTTAACTTATTTAACAGTTTTTGTAGTTTAATCAAGTACAATCATAATATTTTCAGGTTTTAAATCTCTATGAACTATTCCAACACTATGAACATAATTAATTGTATCAAATAATTAACTCATAATTAAAGATGCTTCCTACTCATTCAAATTCTCATTATTTGTAATATAATCAAATAAATCTCCATCTCTAACTACTTCTGTAATGATATTTAAATGAGTTTTAGTTTCTATTATCTCAACAAATCTGATAATACATGAGTGATTCAATAATTTCATTATTTCTACTTCATGTCTATTTATAATAAAATTTAGAATTATACGCTAACATCAATTTTTCTTATTTAGATAATTTAAATTTTTCAATTATTTTCATAGCTAATTATTATTTTGTCTTTTTGTCTTCACAAAGATAAACAATAGAAAATTTGCCTTCTCCTATCTTTTATAATATAGAATAATAATCATTCACTGAAGCTCTATTTTAGTAAATGAAATACTTTTAAAACATTTATAAACTATTAGTCCATTTCTTAAATTCCTCAAAGTCTTTACAATAATATATTCTTTAAGGATATACTTTATCTTTATGTGAAATTTCAAATCCATATGTTTATTCTTGATTATTTACAATTTCTTATATTGTCAAACCATCTAAACAAAATATTTCTAAATTAAGAATAATATTCTATTTTTACTTGAAGGAATTAATTAATCAAGCTTTTTATAAGATAGACAAAATCTTTATATAAGCTTAAAGTATCTATCTTTCATTAACTTTGGGTTTTTTCGACTGACTTTTTTTAATTGTCCTTCTAAATCTTTTTGAACTGTAACAAACAAAGGTACCAAAGTAGTGCTATTAACCCCCCAAATATCATAATTAAATGCCTTATAAAGTCCATCAAATATTTTTGGATGCAATTTAACAAACTATTTAAATTCTTCAATTGATAATCTATATAATTAAATTATATTACTCTTCTTCTTATTTTCCTTTATTTTTGTATATCATATCTACATATTTTCGTACTAAATAATTGATATTTACTCTTTTTAATTCTACTAATTTCCCATTTATTTAAAATGAAATATTTTAACCAAATTATCCCATTGGAACTCCATTAGGTCCAACTAAACTTTCATTTGGAAACATCATGACTACACTTTATTCATTAAAATTAGGAAGACTAGATTATATTGATTAACATTCAACTGATTATTGTCTAGAAAGTGATTTTATTTCACAACTTTATTAAGATCCTCTTCTTTATAATGCATGAACTAATAATTAATGTACTAATTACTTGACTCAGTGAATTCTTACTCATCAGCTCTTAAAGGTTAAGCTTTTTTTTAATTTATTTTCTCTTTTTTCTCATAATACTTTAGAATCTTAAGATCTTCTAAAAACATAGGATCATCTAATAATCTTATTAAATCCTCTCTTGGATAATTTTAAAGCTTTATATCGACACTAAATTACCATTTACAAGAACTCAGCTTTTTTTATTATTCCAATATTTTCCAAATCATATAATTTAAATAGATGATCAATTTTTTACTCCTCATCACATTTTATAAAATAGGCTACACCTCTTAAAAACTATTCAAAATTTATCAGATTTTCATTTTCATCATCTTTATTAAAATAATCAAAAACTAAATCACCCCATAACCCAATCATTGTAAAAAAATCTGTAAAGGCTGTTTTATTAACTAAATTTTCTACATTTCGAGAATTTAGATCACTATATATCAAGAACAATAAATCAATTTCTTTTGGAAGAACTTAAAATATTCAATTAATTTACATTTTTCCTCTAATTATCGTGGTATATGATATAAATTTACTTTTTTGGGTTTACTTCCACATGTACCCATTCCAATATTAGTAATGAAATATATATAAAATTTATATTGAAATTAATTAAAAATTTAGTTTTACAACACAATTTATCAATAAATTTATATTTATTCCAATGATATTAAATACTGTCATAATTATCAAATCATCATTATTCCTAAACCTATTTAATTACAAAGTTTTTGGATATTGATTTTAATGGAAATGTGATTTTAGTCATAATTTAAGATTATAAATCTTTATTCTAGAATATCTAATAAGATTAATTAATAACACTTATAAAGGAATATATATATTAAAATTTTATGATTTTTCATTATTTAAGTTATTAAAGGCTTTTTTCAATAGATTTTTGACTAACGGTTTTAATTTATTTTCAAAGAAAAACTTATTAGCAAAATTCTTAATATTCTTTCAAATCGTTTTCCTAAATTAATAAATATTTATTAAAGAAGTGCTAATTGTAATCCGATCAATTTTAATATTTCAAAATTTACCATATTCAACTAAACAAGATATTTTTGTATTATTGTATACTTACTTGATATTATCACTAAATAGATGTCTAATTAAAAATAATTTGGAAATCAGTAATGTAATAAGGTAAATGTTTTTTCATGTTTCTTTACAAAATATACATTATTTCCTTTTAGAAAAATACTCAAATATTAACTTGTTAAATTGAAAATAGAAATAATATAAAACTTAAATAAATATTAATACATTTCCAAATTTCCAATAGATATATTTAATAAAATGATTCATTGAAACAATATAAAACTCTTTTTTTTAATAAAGAGATCGAAATCAAATTATGTAAATTATGATTAAACTAATATAGGCTTTAGAAAAAAGTTGAATTAACATATAAATTAAAATAAAAGCAGTATTATTTAAGTTAAAATAAAATTTAATACTATCTTTAGCAATAATTTATAGGTGGATAATTTTCTACTTAGAATTTTCAATGGATTAATATATTTTTTATTTTTCAAAATCATTTTTGTAATTTGCATTCAAATTGATTAATTTACAGTATTATTATATAAGAAAATATAATTATTTTTAAACAAATTTTATAATAAATACATGCTTTGCTGCAACAAGAGAAAAAAGAAAATTGATGATGGAATCTAAGTAATAAGAAGGACAAAATTAGAGATAGTAATTAAATTTCTATATATATGTTAGCAATAGACTTAAGAAATTAATGATGAAGCAATGTCATTGTATTAAACTTAAAATTTCTTTAATAACTCGAATATATTTCACAATACCTATGATCTCTCAAGCTAAAGGTAATAAAATATATATTTTAGATTTAGAACAGGCTCTAATTTTAAGGAAAGTCGATCTGTTGATAAACTGATATAGAATCTTCCAAGTATTAGTCCTCGATAGAGTTCATTTAAAAGTTTCAAATATTGCCATACAAGTCCAGATACCAAATTCATTTCTCAGAAGTAAGGTTTTACCTTACTAATAACAAAATCACCTAAGAAGTGAAATACTTTAAGTTAAAGAACCTTTTTGATATAATGTTTAATTCTTATATATATTTAATTATTAACTTGTTAGTACTTCTATCTTGATTAGAACACTCAGTTCCAAAGATCAACTTATATCTAAAAAATTTTAGAACATCATTCAACTGAAAAATTATATGAATTTTAAATGATATTGTATTTCATTAGCCTCAATTTGCTTAAAGAATGGCTCAGCTGTCAAATTTAATTAATAATTAATATTCATTCTTGAGAATATTTACTTTAAAATTGATTTTCTAAAATAGAAAAAGTCATATACATTATAATCTTGAGGAATAATTAAAATCAGTTATTATTGATTAAATGAGATTCTCAAAGACAATGATTTCGATAATCAAAGAGATAATTATTTAGCAAAAAAAAAAAAAATGTTCTATTTTACACAGCAATCTCATTCTAAGAAATATCAAGTTTTTTTAAATATCTCTTTTGATCAAAAAATTTAAAGCAGTAGAATTTTGATTTATAAATATCTCTATAAAAATGAATTTTATATAACTATTAATAATTTTAAGAACTTTCTTAGTCTTATTTTATCAACCTTAAAGAACTAAAAAAATTAATAATGAGATATAAAAGGGATTATGTTATAGGTAAATATAAAATCAAAATTCTTATTTTGATTTTATATTTTAGTCAAAATAAATTGCAGTAAATAAAATTAATCAAAATTGATAATCTACATAAATTAATAGTAAATATACATAGTAAAATAGGAAAATATCATAATTAATTTGAATTCCGGTCAAAAAGTAATCAGAAGGTTTTAAGAAATACGATAATTTACGATAAATTATTCATATAATTATTATCAAGTTTTAATAATATTTTTATTATGTTAACATATGCCTATAATCATGAATCTTCAAATTGTAATGAGGAATTATCCTTAGCTAATGTAAGTTATATCTTAATTTTAGCAGCATTAATTGATTCTCTAAGCATTATCTAGTATGCCAATATAATTTTAATAAAAGGAAAAGTAGCTGTAAATAGAAAACACAAAATTAAAAAGTGAAAATATAGAGCTTTAATCTTAGTTGAATAAAATAGAAAATAAACAACAGGAATTAATAAATGAAGTAAATAAATTTTAATATTTTTAGATTTAGGATCTTAGATAGTTAGTGAAAAGAGTCTATTAAGAAGGAGAAATTTAGATATAGTATTAAAAATAAAAGAATGTAAAATTATTAATAACCCTTAGTAACAATTAGAATATAAAAATGAGAGTCTGAAAAAGGCTTTGGTCAATCTATAAAATAATTTAGAAACCTTTGCATAATTGAAAAATTTATCCAGATTTTTTGATGATAATGAGATTTCTCAAAAAAGTTTAAACTAAAATGCTTAAATTTAATGATTATTATTTAAAAAATGAATATGTATACATTAAATGATCTAATAAATTAAAATTCTAATTATATTACTTATTGTTATTTATTTATAAGAATAAAATAATTATACATTATAATTCTGAGAGTAAAATTAATCTGTTTAATCCACATCATTTTAAGAGATAATTATTTATTATACTAATAAAATTGATCAAGAAAAAACATAATATTATATGTGTGAAAATTATTGTAGAATGCAATTATTATATCAGCTTCGATAAAGAAAGTTGATGGAAAATAACCAATAAATTAATATTTATTATAGAATAAAGAAAAGAGTTTAGAATTCAAAAATTTAGGAATAAGAATTGTCCTATAGTGAATCAATTGAAAAGGAATCCATTTTTCCTTTTATTATTCGTAAATCACCTTAAGAGCATAAAGATTAAATTTAAAGCATAAATACTGGCAACAATAGGAGTGTACCTTAAAACAAAGTCAAATTAAATGCTAAACCCATTAACAATAACCGATCTATATCAGTAAGTAGAAGAATTTCACCTTTTTATGACAAAAACCTCATTTATGATCAAATTAATACAAAATTAGATAAAGAAAAAAAAACTATTGTTGTATTTTCTCAAAGAGAAAACCCTTTAAAAAACGATTACATATATAGATTTTGTAAAAGAGATTCTTAATCAAGTTAATCTAGAAGAAGCAACTACAATGTTTATTTTTGATCAATATATAATCATTTTAATAATAGTATATATGTATATGTTTTGTAATGTTGTTAACAAATATTAGTTTATTAGAAAATATTAATAATGTTTCATATCTAAAAAAATGTAAAGTTAGTTCTTATAAATACTCAAATACTTTTTGATTCTTTAAATCAAATTAAGATATGATATAATAAATATAGTTGATATTAAAGGATATTCAATTATTTACATCTAAATATTTTAATCTAAAATTGATAGTTTTGGATTTTATTAGTTTTAATGGAAATAGAAATAAATAGTTTTAATTACATAATAATAGTTCAATCAGATGGTAAAAAGAATTCTAGCAATAAAATTAAATAATACACTAGAGAATATTATTAATTTAATGTTTTTGAATAAAATTGAAAAGTTGAGTTAATAGTAAATCTTGATAGATGTTGAGAGGAGCAGAAACAATTTTAAAATGACTTTTATAATAAAAATTAAATATTAAGTTATTAATCACTTTAGTAAACAATAGTAAATGATTAAAGCTTAAGAAGAGATAGTTATTAAATATTGAATTTTATTAATAGATTTAATTGATCAAAAGTAGAACACAATCATCAATATTAAGCATAATATTAACAAAAATAGTATAGCCTTAAGTTTTCTTACATTTTCTATTTCAACAGTTGCTTCATCTAAAATAGATCATAAGTATTAGTTACTCTCATGTCTTTCATCTTTTTCTATATCACCATCTTTAATACAAATTAGATTAAAAAGAGATGGAAATAATCCATAACCCGCAATCATGGCACCATTAGCTAAGTTATTTTAGCCTACCTGATTAGTATTTCTAACAGGATCATTTCTACCTGGTTTAGGTCTTGGAGGAATGTTAGGATCACGTGGTTTGCTAGTTTAATTAATAGAAAATACTTAGTTTTAGTTTCATCCTTAGAATATAAAGGAATTAAAGAATTCTTAGAACAACCATTCTTGCAAACAGGACAAGTTAGAAACTCTTGATTTGAATTAAGCCACTAATTACATTATTAATATTATAAATACACTATATATACAAGGCCAACAAAATAGATGTCCACAGTTTGTTAGAATTGGTTCTGTTGCTATTTCTAAACATATATTGCATTCAAATGCTGATTCTATTAATTGTAATTTTGAGTCCTCTTCTTATTTACTCATCTATTTAATAATATAAATCAATAATTATTCATATTAGTAAATAAATAATATCTGAGTTTTACGCTATTATTCTTTCTAATAAGGATAATAATTAATATAATCATTTAACAAACAATCTACCAAAAATATTAACAGCATTTTGATTTAGAGTTTATTCCCTTTTCTAGATGATTTAATTATTGAAGATAAAATTAATTGGTTATCTAAGAATGAAATTGATCAAATTAGTGTGCTTTATAGAAATGAATAGATTGCTTAATATATTAATAATCAAAAAAGACCCAGTGAAGATGCTTTAAGAGAATTATAAAGTCATTAAATTATTTAATAGGATGTTTAGTAATTATTTGGGGATATAGTAACTAATATATCATTGAAAGAAAATCGCAAGTGTAATACAAGAAGAAAAAATCATTTATATATTGCCCCAAAAATGCAATTTTCTTAAAGAGTATATCATTATCAATCATATCTTAATGCTTGTCTAAAATATTTAAGTGGATTCTTTTTCCCTTAGTGTCCTTAATAACAGTATTATGTTGGCTTCTTTAAATGTTTGGCTTGTTACTGTTATATTGAATTAAATACAGAAGTTAAATCAAACGCTAATATAAAAAATCAATAAATGGCAAAAAATATCAATTATGAGTTGGATGTGAAAATATTAATAGTATATTATGAGATAATATTGATGTTGATGATAATATTGTTATTAGATATNATATTAACAAAAATAGTATAGCCTTAAGTTTTCTTACATTTTCTATTTCAACAGTTGCTTCATCTAAAATAGATCATAAGTATTAGTTACTCTCATGTCTTTCATCTTTTTCTATATCACCATCTTTAATACAAATTAGATTAAAAAGAGATGGAAATAATCCATAACCCGCAATCATGGCACCATTAGCTAAGTTATTTTAGCCTACCTGATTAGTATTTCTAACAGGATCATTTCTACCTGGTTTAGGTCTTGGAGGAATGTTAGGATCACGTGGTTTGCTAGTTTAATTAATAGAAAATACTTAGTTTTAGTTTCATCCTTAGAATATAAAGGAATTAAAGAATTCTTAGAACAACCATTCTTGCAAACAGGACAAGTTAGAAACTCTTGATTTGAATTAAGCCACTAATTACATTATTAATATTATAAATACACTATATATACAAGGCCAACAAAATAGATGTCCACAGTTTGTTAGAATTGGTTCTGTTGCTATTTCTAAACATATATTGCATTCAAATGCTGATTCTATTAATTGTAATTTTGAGTCCTCTTCTTATTTACTCATCTATTTAATAATATAAATCAATAATTATTCATATTAGTAAATAAATAATATCTGAGTTTTACGCTATTATTCTTTCTAATAAGGATAATAATTAATATAATCATTTAACAAACAATCTACCAAAAATATTAACAGCATTTTGATTTAGAGTTTATTCCCTTTTCTAGATGATTTAATTATTGAAGATAAAATTAATTGGTTATCTAAGAATGAAATTGATCAAATTAGTGTGCTTTATAGAAATGAATAGATTGCTTAATATATTAATAATCAAAAAAGACCCAGTGAAGATGCTTTAAGAGAATTATAAAGTCATTAAATTATTTAATAGGATGTTTAGTAATTATTTGGGGATATAGTAACTAATATATCATTGAAAGAAAATCGCAAGTGTAATACAAGAAGAAAAAATCATTTATATATTGCCCCAAAAATGCAATTTTCTTAAAGAGTATATCATTATCAATCATATCTTAATGCTTGTCTAAAATATTTAAGTGGATTCTTTTTCCCTTAGTGTCCTTAATAACAGTATTATGTTGGCTTCTTTAAATGTTTGGCTTGTTACTGTTATATTGAATTAAATACAGAAGTTAAATCAAACGCTAATATAAAAAATCAATAAATGGCAAAAAATATCAATTATGAGTTGGATGTGAAAATATTAATAGTATATTATGAGATAATATTGATGTTGATGATAATATTGTTATTAGATATAGTATTTTTGCATCAAGATGTAAAATTAAAAAATCAATTTAATCCTCTATATTTAAATAAGATAATTAAAGAAATATTAGAAAATTATCAAATTTTAATATATGATCAAAATAGATTTTCAATTATTAATGTAAATGCAATCAAAGTTAATTCTAATATTGCTTTTGAAAATATTGTTATGATTTTGGCACAAGCATTTGTAGCTACTCTCTAACCAGACATTGATTCTCTTAAAATGCTTATGAATTATGAGAGGAGTTTATCATTAGTTTTGTAAATGAAACTGAAGTTCCTTGTTATAGTAAATAAATAGAAATATTTTGTAAATAAAATTAATATAATCTTTTGAACTAATTCTTATAATTATCATATTAAAATTAAATACTTAGCAATCAAGCAATCCTAAATTATTAAAATTAAATGGCTTAAGCAGAAGGTGATTAATTTACATAATAATTTGCTTAAGCTAGTTAAAAATTTTAAAAATATCTTGAAAACATTATAACAGAGTAGGAGTTATAATAAACTCAAGAAAAATAAGGTGAGTATGAGTATGAATATGTATATGAATGATATAATCATATGAGAATATTCAAATCAATAATCATATTCTTTCATTATCAACCCAAGTGTCCAATTTTTAAGGGAAATAAAGCAAAATGAGTAAAACTCACTAAAAAAACTTTAATACTTTTTTTAAATAATATAATCATCCACACTCATTCATAAATTATTTATAATACTCAGATTCGCCTTAAATAGAACATTTTGTAATTCATTTACAATTTTTTATCATTCATGATTAATATAATTTATTTTATATATTGAAATTATTATTCTTTATATTTCATTTTTAAAGCGATTTTCAATGTTTCGCAAATTTGAATATTTTTAAATTAATTTTCCATTTTATACTTAATTTAATTCATGATTTCTCCAAACTATTTAAGAAATTTTAGTAAACTGATTAAATACCCATAATATTATAGAAGCAAACAATGAAAACCTAAACTATTATGTAAATTTAGATATAGATCCTAAAATTATGTTGGAAAGAAATTTTGATCTTTATGATTTTTCAGATAAAAAAAGAAAAAAAAGTTTATTTTAAATTGTTTTCATAGTACCATAACGAAATAAAACTGATATTTAAAAAAAGAAAGATAAATTTATATAGATGAAAAAATTAATATGAAAATACTGAGCAATATAATTTAAAATCTTATATTAATAACTAAAAAGTGATAAAGAAAAAATGATTTGTTTTAAAATAAAGTCCTGAAATTTAGGAAAGCTATATTAAATTGTAAAATGAAGATTAGAACCAAAGACTTTCTAAAAAATTTTTTATCAATCTTTTTTGTCGATTTTAAAGAATTATAATTTAATTGAATTAATAGATTCAAAAAAATTTCCTTTAAGGATATATTTTTATAATGTTATGAGATNAGCATTTGTAGCTACTCTCTAACCAGACATTGATTCTCTTAAAATGCTTATGAATTATGAGAGGAGTTTATCATTAGTTTTGTAAATGAAACTGAAGTTCCTTGTTATAGTAAATAAATAGAAATATTTTGTAAATAAAATTAATATAATCTTTTGAACTAATTCTTATAATTATCATATTAAAATTAAATACTTAGCAATCAAGCAATCCTAAATTATTAAAATTAAATGGCTTAAGCAGAAGGTGATTAATTTACATAATAATTTGCTTAAGCTAGTTAAAAATTTTAAAAATATCTTGAAAACATTATAACAGAGTAGGAGTTATAATAAACTCAAGAAAAATAAGGTGAGTATGAGTATGAATATGTATATGAATGATATAATCATATGAGAATATTCAAATCAATAATCATATTCTTTCATTATCAACCCAAGTGTCCAATTTTTAAGGGAAATAAAGCAAAATGAGTAAAACTCACTAAAAAAACTTTAATACTTTTTTTAAATAATATAATCATCCACACTCATTCATAAATTATTTATAATACTCAGATTCGCCTTAAATAGAACATTTTGTAATTCATTTACAATTTTTTATCATTCATGATTAATATAATTTATTTTATATATTGAAATTATTATTCTTTATATTTCATTTTTAAAGCGATTTTCAATGTTTCGCAAATTTGAATATTTTTAAATTAATTTTCCATTTTATACTTAATTTAATTCATGATTTCTCCAAACTATTTAAGAAATTTTAGTAAACTGATTAAATACCCATAATATTATAGAAGCAAACAATGAAAACCTAAACTATTATGTAAATTTAGATATAGATCCTAAAATTATGTTGGAAAGAAATTTTGATCTTTATGATTTTTCAGATAAAAAAAGAAAAAAAAGTTTATTTTAAATTGTTTTCATAGTACCATAACGAAATAAAACTGATATTTAAAAAAAGAAAGATAAATTTATATAGATGAAAAAATTAATATGAAAATACTGAGCAATATAATTTAAAATCTTATATTAATAACTAAAAAGTGATAAAGAAAAAATGATTTGTTTTAAAATAAAGTCCTGAAATTTAGGAAAGCTATATTAAATTGTAAAATGAAGATTAGAACCAAAGACTTTCTAAAAAATTTTTTATCAATCTTTTTTGTCGATTTTAAAGAATTATAATTTAATTGAATTAATAGATTCAAAAAAATTTCCTTTAAGGATATATTTTTATAATGTTATGAGATGAATAAAAAGATAAATATAAACTTTGAATTTATTAAACTTTCTATTTACAAATCTAAAATATTATAAATAAATTATGAAAATATACATAAAAGTTTTTGATTAGAAGAAAATATTAATTTATATATCTTTATAATTTATTTAAGATAAATATATTAATTGAATAAGCATTTGGTAATTCAATTATTAATAATTAGATATAAATTTGGTATTTATTTAAATATTTTAGATAAAAATCGAAGGGTGTTACGTATAAATATTTAAATCTATAGATAAATTTTTCATTTGATTAAATATTTGTAGAATAAAATTATTAAAATATATATCCTATATTATGATATAACAATTATTCTGAAATTATGTTAATGAATGATCATTCTTTATTTAAATAAAAATACACAATTTATTTATTATCATTATAAAACGAAAGGATAGTTAAATAATATAACTTAGGATGAAATAATATTAAATATATAGGATTTTTAATACTCTAAAATTATATAGAAGTTTCTGATTTATTCACATCAACTAAAATTTGATAAAAGTATTAAAATATAAATTCCATATTTAAGAAATTAAAAATAACATTATTAATTATGGCAGTGAGACAATCAATTTTAGAATCAAAGTTTTATTTAACAATAGATACGATTATGATTTTTAATTAATAATTATCAATATGACTACGAGATCAAGTTTAATTGGATATGAAATAATTAAACAACCTATTGAAATTAATTTTAATGTGTTTTTATTTAAATAAGATTATTATACTGTCTATAGTAGTACAAATTTTCATATAATTCAACTAGAATTTTTAGTAAATCAATTTAATTTTTATTAATTTAAAGAGAGAATGCGTCCCAAGACAATAGAAGAGCAATATAAAAAAATGAGCCATATAGAACATATATTAAATAGGCCTGATACTTATATTGGAAGTGTTCAAAAAATGAACGAGCTAATGTGGATTGTGAAAAATGGGAAAATGATTCAAAAGGAAATCGAATATGTACCTGCATTTTTTAAAATATTCGACGAAATTTTAGTGAATGCTGCAGATAATATTCAAAGGAATAACTAAACTTATAAGATGACTTAATTAAGAGTAGAAATTGGGAACTAAATTTCTGTAAAAAATGATGGTTAACCAATACCAGTAGAGATTCACAAGGAATATCAACTTTATGTTCCTGAATTGATATTTGGGGTATTTTTGACAGGAAGCAACTTTGATGACACAGAAAAAAGAGTAGTTGGAGGTAGGAATGGTTATGGTGCAAAATTGACTAATGTTTACTCAAGTGAATTTTCAGTTGAAGTTTGTGATGGAAACAATTATTTAAAATAGGTTTGGAGCAATAATATGAGTAACAAATAGATACCTATAATAAAATAGATGAAGAAAGATCCTTTTGTATAAATAACTTATAAGCCAGATTTTAAAAGATTTGGTATGAATGAAATTGAGGAAGATACTTAGGCATTATTAGTGAGAAGAGTTTATGATATGGCAGGAATATATGGAAGTAAGATAAATGTATATTTGAATGATGAGAAAATCCCCATAAATTCATTTTAGAAATATGTTGATTTATATTTGCCTAGTAATTCCATAAAAATTTATGACAAAGAAATGACAACTCCAAGATGGGAAGTTGTAGTAAGTTATTCTGCCACTCAATTTTAACATGTTTCATTTGTTAATTCAATTTTTACTTCAAAAGGAGGAACTCATGTGACTCATGTTACTGATAAATTAATTTAAGAGATTCAAAATGAAATGAAGAGCAATAAGAAATACAAACATTTAGAAGTACAGAAGTATTAGATCAAACAATCTTTATGGATATTTGTTAATTGTTTAATTAATAATCCAACTTTTGATTCTTAGACAAAAGAAAATTTAACAACTAGGGTTACTGACTTTGGTGGTAATGATGAAGAGAAATTTAAAGTTACAGAGAAATTCTCTAAAGCACTCATAAAGACTGATATTATTGAAACTATATTCTAATAAGCAAAGGCTAAAGCAGATGCTAAATTAAATAAATAATTAAAAGGTACTAAAACAAGTAAATTACATGGAATTGAAAAATTAGATGATGCTAATGATGCTGGAAAAAAGAACTCAGAATTCTGTACATTAATATTAACAGAAGGGGATTCAGCAAAAGCTTTGGCAATGGCTGGAATAGATATTGTTGGAAGAGATAGATATGGAGTATTTCCATTAAAGGGTAAGTTATTAAATGTAAGAGAAGCATCAGTAAAATAAATTATGGAAAATGAAGAAATCTAAAATTTGATTAAAATTATTGGATTATAGAAGGACAGAGAATATGGTGATTTAAAATCCTTAAGATATGGTTCAGTTATGATAATGACAGATTAAGATATTGATGGTTCACATATCAAAGGATTGATCATCAATTTTATACATCATTTTTGGCCTTCATTATTAAAATACAAAGGGTTTCTGAAGGAATTTGTAACACCTTTAATCAAAGCAACCAAAGGAAATTAAACAATTCCTTTTTTTACTGTTTAAGATTTTAATAAGTTTGCTTAAATTTAAGATATTAAGAGTTGGAAGATTAAGTATTACAAAGGATTAGGTACATCTGATGATTTAGAAGCTTAGGAATACTTTCGAAATTTGGTTGGTCATACAATCTAATTTAGATATGATAATGAGGATGATGATTAATCAATAGATTTATGTTTTAATAAAAAGAAAGCTAATGATAGAAAATAATGGTTAGCATAGTATAATCATGATTTATATGTTGATCACACACAGAAAGAATTAGGATATTAAGATTTTATACATAAAGAACTGATTCATTTTTCAATGGCTGATAATATTAGATCTATACCTTCAATGATGGATGGTCTAAAACCTGGCTAAAGGAAAGTCTTGTTTGCATGTTTCAAAAGAAATCTAAAATAAGAAATTAAAGTTGTTTAATTGGGAGGATACATTGCCGAACATTCAGCATATCATCATGGGGATATATCTTTGGTAACCACAATTATAGGTATGGCTTAAAATTTTGTTGGATCAAACAATATAAATCTTTTATTACCAAGAGGTTAATTTGGTAGTAGAGCTATGGGAGGAAAGGATCATGCTTCTGCAAGATATATTTCAACTGTACTAAATAAAATTACAAGATATATCTTTCCAGAATAAGATGACCATATCGTCAAATATATTGAGGATGATGGAGAAATGGTTGAACCTGAATATTATGTTCCAATAATTCCTATGAGCTTAGTAAATGGGGCTGAAGGTATTGGTACAGGTTGGTCAACTTCTATTCAAAATTATAATCCTTTAGAATTAGTGGAATAGATTAAGAAAAGACTTAATGGTGAATAATTTGATAATCTTACACCGTTTTACAGAAATTTTGATGGTATTATTGAAACCTAACCAAATGGAAATAGTCTTATTAAAGGTATAATAGAGTGCAATGAGGAAACTGATGTTGTGATTATTAAAGAATTACCTATAAAAAAATGGACGAAGAATTATAAAGAATGGTTGGATAAAGAAATAGCATAAGAAGGCAATCCTATTATTGATTTGAGAGAGTATCATACTAAATATAAAATTCATTTTGAAATCTAAATGACAGAGGGTTATGTAAGTCAATTAAAGAATCCTTATGAATATTTTAAATTAGTTACACCTTTTTCTAATAATAACATGGTTTTATTTGATGGCCAAAATAAAATAAAGAAATTTGAATCTATAGCAGAAATATTGGAAGAATTCTATTAAGTTAGATTATAATTTTATTAGAAACGCAAAGATTATCTTCTTTCAAAACTTGATAGAGAAGTTCAATTATTATACAATAAATCAAGATTTATCAAAATGGTTATATCAGAAGAAATTCGATTAAAGAATGTCAAAAAAGCAGATCTGGTTTAATAATTAGATAAACATTAATTTATAAGATTCTCCTAATTAATAACTGTAAATTCAACTAAATTAAAAGCATTTGGCGATTCTAAAAATCCAAAAAAGAATGTAGATGACAATGACACATCAGAAGTTTCTGATGATGAATAAGTGAGTAAGAAAAAATCAGAAAATATTGAAAATCAATAGAACAATAAAACAACACTTGACATTAGTGATTATAATTATCTTCTATCAATGCCATTATTTTCTTTGACTAATGAGAAGGTAGTAAAATTAGAAGAAGAACTAAATTCTAAACTTCAAGCTAAAGATAAATTATAGAATAAAGAAATAGCTGATATGTGGATTGAAGATTTAAATAAATTTTTAGAAGCTTATGATGAAATGGTAAATATAGAAAATAAGCTCATTAATTAAGCAGAAAAAGTTCCTAAAGATTAAAAAAAGAAATAGGTGAAAAAGAAGAATGTTTAAGATGGAATGCAAATTGAATAAGAAGGAAAGAAAAAGGCTAATAAAAAATTGAATTAAAATGATAAACCAAATGAAAATAGTCCAAAAAACTAATCAAACAGAAAGATTAGAACTTTAAAGGAAAATAAGAGTTAAGAAAACTGATATTATTTATAAATCATTTATTAATTATTTACTTTTTATAATTAGTATAAATTAGAAATGTTATCTTATAATATTTAATCTTTCTTATTATTAAATTAAGAAACATAAAATAATAATATTAATAAATATCATTTAGATTATATTTCATAAATTGAATATAGTTTTTCATTAGAATCCCAAAAAACTAAATATTTAGCATCTTTTGTCATAGAACCTTAAATCGAATTACTAAATTATTTAACTTTATTAGCTATTTTAAAAGAACCATCATTTTATTCCCTAAGCAAATAAATGTTAAATTTATGTCTAATTAATATAATATTTTATTCTTTATTGTATACAATAGGAAACAGATTCAGATCATAGAATTCATCATCATACTCTAATTCTATATTATAAGTTTTATTTTCTATTAATTTTCCATCTTAAATTTAAAAGATTCTAGCTAAATTACAATTCTTTATATCACCACTAACCCAAATAAATTTATCATCTTTTAAGAAGCAAACTTTAGTTCCATATTCATTATCAGATTATGTAACCATATTTTCATACTCCCAATAATTTTATTTATTCTTTCTCCATATAATAATTTCGTTATCATCTCCACATGATACTAAAATGGTTTCAGTAAAATTCAATGTTATGCTGTTTATACAACTTTTACATTAATTTAAGGATTATTGTAATTTTAACTCATTATTGTTAATATCAAAATTCCAAATTTTAATTGATTAATCTTGACTACATGAAATTAATTAACTGTCATCTTTACTTAAGAGTATACATTCAATTTAATCAGTATGATCCTAATATGGTTATGAAGATTTCCATTATTTAAAATTGATTTGCTTCCAACATCTAATTGAACAATCTCCAGAACCCGAAATGAAACTATTATTAGAATGAGTGAAAGAAAGACATCTTATTTTATCATCATGTCCTTTCAATTTTAAAACTTCCTTTATATTTCCATTTAAAAAATCCCATAATTTTATATATTTCCCACATCCAGAGATCATAAGAGATCCAATATTATTAAATGAAATAGCAAAGCAATCATCAGACTAATAATAAGTATTGTTGATTAATTTAAGATTAATTGGATCAACTTGTAATTATTAATTTTATTAGGTTTCCTTTGTTTTATAGTTATTTACAAGAGTTAGTAATTATTATCTAAGCTCTTTTATTAAAGATTTAGAATTTTAGTTTAACTATTAAATTTTATAAGTAATTTTAGTAATCCAAGATAGATTAATTTCTTAAATTTCTTTAAGTATTTGTTTATTTAAATCATCTTTTTATTAATTTTAAATAAGTAGTTCTAATTCTTCAAAAAAACTATAAGTTTAAGTTTGTTATCCTAATTAATTAAGAAATTTGATCCATTCTTCAGAATTACCAATCAATTAATCGATAGTTTAATTAATATTTGATTTGATTTCAAATAAATTTCTTGATATCATTTCAATATATTCTATATTGGTTGATATTAAAGTTTCTTTAAATTCTCTAAGTTTACTAAATTTATGATCAATCATTTATAGAACTTTAGATAAACCTACCATTTTGACATCAGATTCAAAATCTTGGATACAATCAGAACATAGTAATCTCTCATTTTTAGTCAATTTTGAATCAAAAACAACCATTTATATAGGTAACTTGTGTTTTTTGGAACATTGAAGGTCAATATCTTATTCTATCATAAATGGATTAATCAATGTACTCATATTAAATTTTTTATTAATTCTTAATTGAATTTCTTATTTTTATACAAAAATCATAAACTGTATTAATCAGATGAATGATTATTTAAATAGAATTTCATTTTTATATTATTACGCAATATCATAAAGCAAAGTTTATTTATTTATTTTACTAAAAATGCAATATCATATAGTAAATCAAGTATACAATATTGTTATGATTTCTCCGTAGTTAATTCCAACACATGGATATAAATCATCTTCAACATCAAATTACATCGACTTTTATAAATATAATAAATTATTACAAATTAATTCTGTTTATTCTAATTTCTCCACATTATTATTTATTTCTGATAGTTTATTTCAACTGAAATAATATCATTATTGTAAAATTTAAATGATAATTCTTTATTATTAATATTAGGATTTAAATTAGAGTAAACATAACCGTATTGATTGATAAGATAAGCTCTAGCTATATTGATATTTATATACCCATGTGCTTAATTCTTTTATAAATCAGGCTAGTAATTAGTTTAAATTATTTTATTTTTATGACAAACACCTATATCAGATGCACTAGCATTTATAATTTTAAAGGAAAAATAAATAGGGCAACTTTTTTTTGGAATTTTGGGTTCACAAATAGCAATTTTCCATCCAACACAAGAATTGATTGCTTTTTTACAATTGTTTTCTAGTTCTATTGTTCTATGTTTATAATCTGATGAAAATAAAATAGATAATTTTTCAGGTATTTCTTAATTTTATTGAAAGATTTATGTTCTTATTAAACTATTTGAATTATATTATCTATTCTAACCTATATTTTCTAGAAAATTGGTTTATGAAATAGGAATTGACTTAAAATTTTTAAATTTACAACATAGATTATTTAATCTCTCATTCAATTCATTCAAATTTACAATCAAACCTCCCGTTCCTTCTATTAATTCAATCTTGATTACTTTAGTAATTTACTCATTAAGATAATTTTAGGATAATTATTACACATTGTCGAATGATTAAACATAAAGTGGATTTACTATGTCATAAATAGTATTTATTGAGATTCTTATTTGTTGAATAATATTCATTAATTAATCATACGATTTCATTTTTTAGAATATCCATTAATTTAATTACTTAAAGCTCTTTAATTATTGAAAGTGATCAGAATGTAAAGAAGTCATACAATATTAACAATAAGGTCTAAGATGTTGACAGTCCTATTTTATGCAACAACCTAAAATCTAGCTCTCATCATGATTTTCAATCTAACAAATTAGCATCTCTATTTGAAAAGTAATATATTTTTTTTATTATAATTTTTTGAATAAAATAGTATTAAAAAATGTTAATAATGATTATGATACTATTTATTTACTTTATAAGCTAGGGAATAATAAATTTTGAAAACATATTAACCTTTTAAAAGTAATATATTAGGAATGTATTAATGAATAAAAAATAGAATAATATTAATAATTAATTTGCTTAAATATTGAAAATAATATCATTTTTAACAATGTAATGAATAAAAATAAATAAGAATAAAGATCAATTTCATAACTTCAATTATCTTATTTAGAGTCTTCTACTTATGTCATCCCATGTTATTAAATATTAACCGTCATCTGTCATTCTTCCAAAAACTCCAGATGTACAATAATCAATTGATTATTTTGTAATAAATTGACCATCTTAATTATAGAGAATTAAATTTACTGAACATTCATTCTTATTAACCAATATCTATTTTTCACTAATAAATTATTAAGGAAAGAACCAAAAACAACCTCTTCTCTTCATTTTACAAGTTCCTATTTCTACTGGTATATTCTTTGTTTTTTAAAATTAATTAGTTTTAGAATTCAATTCATAGATATGTAATTATTCCTTTCTTTCTGGTTGAAATGTGAATACAGAATCATTTATAAAACAAAGTCTTCTACCCCAAGTTGTTACATTAATAGTTTATAATAATACCCAAACCTTACTCTTCACTTCTTGTTAATGTATCAATATTTAAGGATGTTTAGAACAAGAAATGATCTAGTTTTCTGTCACATTCAAACTCATAGAACTAATATAATGTTAATGTCCAATTAATGTTTGATGACATGTCCAATAATCATTTTCTCTAATCCATATCTTAATAAGTGTATCATCACTACCAGATATAATTGTATCCTCTTTACTATTTACTATTAAACAATTTACTCCTCCTTAATGTTCTTCCAATTATTATTTTAAATGCCATTATTAATCATCACTATATTAAAATACAATTATTGTTTTATCACAACTACCTGATATAAATTCTTTAGTCTTTTTCATGTGATATACACAATAAATACTCTTTTTATGAAGGTTAATTTCTTAATTTAATTTTACTTCACCATCTATGAAATCAAATACTTTAATTGTACTTGATTCATATCCAGCTATCATTATAGTAGATTCCATATTAAATGCTATTGAATTTATTTATTATTCTTCAGTTGAATTGATCAATTCATAATTTATTGTACTTAATTCTCCTTTTATCTTTTTATTAGGACTATCTAAAGAAGATAATTCTAAATCACTTATACAATTATTTAATGTTTAAATTAAATTATCTACATTTTTACAAATAATTCCTAAAATAGATTGTTTCTAACTTTCCATTTATAATTTAGAACTTAAATAATCATGTAATTGTTCAATACTTAAATCTTCAAATTCTTCTTAACTTAATTGATTATTATTAAACATTTCATCTCTTAACCATTTAAATAAAGTGTTAACATATTCTATGTTTCTCTCAATATCTTCAAATATAGTATTGCTTTTATTCTCAAATAATTTCCCATAATCTCTTAATTTATGAACATCCTTCATATGAGAATTGTGTTTTTCACTTTATAAACATTTAAAGCAAAATACTCTGCAATCTCTACAATATTGATTCAAACATATAAATTCAACATTAACTCCATGTTCAGGAATAGAACAAAATTAATTCATTTTATGAATATTATCAATCAACTATTATTACAAATGGATTCTAATTATCATTTATGGTAATTTATATTTGGCTTTTAAAATTTGGATGGTATTATTTTTATTGTATAATTTCTATCAATAATATCTAAATTTTCTATTTCTCCTTCACAATTTATCAAATACAATTGGTTAAATCTTAAAAATTACATATATCATTTTATATTGTAAACAGTTTGGTAGAGTAACTTTATTTCTAACATAATCTACCTATATAGTAATATTTATACTATTATTCTATTAAATTAATGAATCTTAACTTAAGATCATTTTAAATGATTTTAAGTTAAGATTCATTATATATAATTATTAAGTATCATTAATCAAAATTATGTGTATTACCAAATTTAAATTTTTTTTATATTTCTCTCCCAACTTACTAGATAATGTCCATCATTTGATAATTACCCATAAACATAAGGAAAATTAATTAAATTGTTTGCTAATTAATTAATTCTCCATTCTCCTTTAAAATTATTAGTAATAGACAGTTTTAATTTTTATTTAGTAAATTTGATTTATTTTGAAAAAATTATAAAGGTGAATACAATGCACAAGTTTTCATCTATTCATTCTTAATCTTCACTTCTTCAATAAGAGAAATTTCATTTTTTTCATCTATAGTATAAATTTATAGAGCATTTCTACACCAAGGTTAAAATGCAAAATTTGTTATCTTAATAAAAAAGTATTCTAAATCCTCCTACTAATAAATGAAATGATTTGGTAAATATCCAATCATTAATAATTTTCTTAATAACCAATTTATATTTAAATCTTCCACAGGCTAAAATCATATTCTAGGATTGATTCAGTGTTAAACCATATACTTCTTCATCAATTTCAATGGATTTTAACAATTTCCATTAATTATTCCTTTGCCAAAAGGTTATTTGTAAACCTACCCTTTTATTAACAAATTCTCTTATCTATTTTTTAACATACAGTTTATTTCTTAATTATTATTAAGAAATTATGATCTTTTATTGTTGTTTAATAAGTTTAATGACCAGAATCTTATTTAGCCATTTGAATTAGATGATATAAATTAATTCTAAAGATTAATAAATAATAGACAATTATTATTATTATAGAGATTTCCATTTATAAATGATATTAATTTGATATTCCCTTATTTAAATTGAAATATTTTCAAATTTTAATAACATGTAAAAATTAAGATGCACAAAATTTAATTAAAAATAATTGAATGGCATTTTTGTTGTTATTTAATTGAATTTACTAGGTTATATTTAAAATGAATATGAGAATTTCTATATTATTGACTAATTTCCTTTTCTTATTGGATTTATGTCATAGATAAATTTATTTAGAATATAAACAATATTATGTATTTTAATACCTAATTATTTGCTTTTAATTTCCTGATTACAATATTGTTATTCTTTTCGAACTATTCCAATAATAAACCTATTAATAATTCATTCAAATACTAATTTATTAAGTGTACCAAAAAATAAATATTTTTGTTAAATTAATCTGTATACTATTAATTTGATTGTATAAGAGACAATATATAATTTGAAAATTACATTTTTGAATGGTTCAACAGAGGATATATTCAAATAATATATAAATTTAATAACTTGAATGTTAAATATAAATTATTAATTTTGTCGAATATGGCTGTTTAAAATATTGACTATAAAATTTAAATTAATATTGATAATCATAATTATCATGTTTTTGGTGTTTATGCTACAGGTTCTTAGATTTCAGAATGACTTATAAATTATATTTCTTTTAATTAATTACATAAGTTAAAAGTATCTTTATAAAATAATTTATCCTGTATTTTTATACCAAGATGATCTAAGACACTTTTACTTTTCTATTAGATCATACAATTATCTAATTCTATTATTTGATTATTAATTTAATTTTAATCTTAGTTTTAGTTTTTAAAACAAAAACCATTTTTACCTATTTATCTTCTATGATTTTTTAATAAAATTTATTATTCTTTTGTAAGTAAAATCTTTTTAAGAATTTAAATATCTTATAATTTTCTTAAAATCTGAACTATTTCTAAATATTTATTAATTTTGTTTTTGGCAACTATAAATTATTTTTTTTTGAATTAATTACACCCAAAGATTATAAACCAAGAATCAAGTCTAGATTAACTTAATTTATTATTTTAATTTTTGGATATAGGTACTTTCTCAGTTTTATTTATCTAACTCTTCATATCTCTTTCTGTTAAGATCATCATAACATTTTAAGATTATTAATTTGCAATATCATTTTAATTAGAAAAATTGAAAAGAGAATTTACAATTTCTAATTTCATAAAGTTTTCAATAATAGGTCTTAATATAATAGCTACTATCATTATAAATATCTAAAATATTCCACCTAATTTACCTAATATTGTTTATAATTTAACATATGTTCTAATATTATTTGTTTATTTGTAATCTAATCTTATATAATGAACAACTATATATTGATTATTATAAAATTCAGATATCTCTCTCCATTCACTTTATTAAATATTTGATTAATCCTTATTTTATTCCCAAATTAATCCTTCATCTGTAGATGTTTATAATATTCTATATTTTTAAGAAATAGTCTTAGAAGTGCTTAAAGAAAAAGTTGTAAATTCATTTGTGATAATTTCTTAATAAGGTTATCCAGGTTGATCAAGTTTAGTAAGATAATCACTTTTATAAACATTATAATGGCCTGATTCTAAAATACTTTCTATTTCTTATTATGATGCACAACTCTGAAATAAACTTGTATTTTGACATGCAATAAACTAAATAAATATGTATCTGAATATGTTCGAGGAAATCAATCCCTACAAAATCTAATCTATTTAAAATTTTATATACTAATGGATTCTCTTTTAGATATTATCTATTAATGCATTAAATCCCTCCCATTCTAATAGTTGAAAAGTATTCTTTCTATATATCTGTTGTGAAATGTGACATATTACATGGCTCTATTGGTACTTATGTACAACTTATTATTCAGTAATCTTTACTTTAATTTTACAGAAACATTTCCAGAATATTAATCCTTTGTTCTTAATCTCTCGCATTAACTGATATTTAATTAAAAATATCGATTAATTCCTATTAATGGCTCTGAATATCGATTCACTACAGATATTGCTAAGGTAAAGTTATCATTTTTAAGGATAAATGGCTGATTATAGTTAATATTTATACTTCAGTTTCAGATATAGATAATTCTGTTTGATAGATTGCAGGCTTTGATTATGAGACCATAGAGACTACTTCTGTAAGAAAAAAATAGAGTCCAAACATAGCAATCATTAATGAAATTAAAAACCCAAGGACTGAGGGAAATTTGCTACGATTGAGTATTGTAAAATTGGGTTATTGGGCAAAAATATCAAAATGATAGAGAAATTCCTCTTTTAATTTCTGTGCTAAATTCGAACAGCTTTCGGATTCTCTTGACATACTAAAAAATTTAATTAAAATCTCCTATAAGTTAAATGATGGAAAATATCTAATTTTAAAGTATAATTATAAATAGCCGGTTGTTTATTACTCTGATTTTGATAATCTATCAAAAAATAAATTTTTTCAAACACTTAACATTGGATGAGTTCATTTCAAAGGCTAACTTCAATTTATTTTAAATAATAATTAACTTATGTATAAATAAAAAGAGGATTCTAAACATTCAATAGCTTTCTTTATTTTGTTAAATTCAATACATTCATTTTTCGATTAATATATAAATATGCAAATAATCTGATTCTAATTATAATTTGAGCAATTAAATATTTAATAATTTATTATAAATATAACAAAATATCATTAAAAGGAAAAGTTTTATCTATTGAGTAAAGTTAAGCCGACTATTGTCAACATTTAATGATAAATTTATTAAAACAGATTCCTTATGACAATAGAGTTTATTTTCAAAGTTAAAATAACAACATTATTCCAAATATAAATATATTTTATATTTGGGAAATGTCTTTTCAGATGATTCTTTATTTATTCTATAAAATTCTCTATAAAGGAACCTAATTTTCTTAAATTTTAATAAATGATTATTCATTTATCAAAATCAAACATATTTATTTGAGTTAAGATTTTACTTTTTAAAGTATTTATGTAATAATCTAAATTTATATCAATTTTATTAGGTTTTGAATATTAAATTTATGTATTTATGATTTATAAATGATCTTTATTAATCTTGAAATATGTAAATATTACTTAAGATAAAATAGTTTTAAGAACTATCTTTCATGACTTTTTCTAGCTTTAATTTATTGATCTTTTTAAAAATTATCCTTGAGCATAAAATTTTGATTAATAGAATAGAAATTCAATTTTACTTATATGAAAATAACAAAGTTTTTATATATTTTATAAAATTAAATCGAACCTTAATTTTATAAATAATAATTTCTAATAATATAAAGAAAATAATAAAAATTATATTAGTAAATAATATCTTTTTTGTTATTGATCTCATATTATTATTAATCTTCCTTATTTAATCTTGTCTTAAATACTTAGATTATTAAAGGTTCTCAAATCTAAATATTTATCCTCTTTTTGTTAAGACTCCTTATTTTCACCTAAATAAGGATTCATTTTAATTAAATTAATTAATACATATTTTCTAATAAAAATTTAGGAATTAATTCATAAATATTTATAAATGTCTACCAATATTATAAGTAATATAAAATTTCCAAGAATTTATACTTTACATTTTAAACATTTCCTGGTTTTAAATTTTTAGACCTTTATTATGATATATTGAATCAATCATTTTATTTCTCTTATCCTAAGAAACTAAGATCCTAATGATTCAATTTTTGCACTTTTGAATTCAAATACTGTATAAAATGTTATCAACAGCATTTTTTATTTGTTTTATTTCTAACAACTTATTCATTTCCTTAAAAAAATGGATTCTTAATTCTAAAACCATTAATTTTATATCTGATTAATTCTTTTTTTTTGTTCTAATATAGATAAAAATAACAATTATTGGATGATTGATTGAACTCTAATTACTTTACAAATAGTATTCAAAGCTTAACAGATTTATTGTTGTTGTAATCCTACAAGTAATCATATTTATTCATTTTATTTGATTTTTGCAATATTAGAATCAATTTAAAAATACACAATGAACTATCATTTATTTCTTCGTCTGATCGCACTCTATTCTTGTACTGTGAATCATTGTTAATATTCTTAAAAAATATTCTTCAGTTTTATAATCAGTGTATTTATAAGAAAATTATCGAGTTATCTGATTCTGTTAATTCTATGAGCCGATACTCTTAAAACCATACAATTAAGAGGAAACAATTAAGAAAACAACTATTGGAAATTTATTTGCCATTTCTTTTCTTAGATTATATATATATATATATAATATTCTTGGGCCATAATTATTGGTTTTTTGATGTGTTAGCTTATATATTCATTCTATGTCTTTAGATCCAGAATCACATATTCTAAACTTTATTAGGCTAAAGTCGACGAATAGAATAACTTTGCAAATGCAATAAGGCTAAATTTTTATTATATTTTCTAAATTATTATATATTAATCTTCAGAGATGATAGATGACTGACAATTATCACTCCAAGTCATTTTTTAAGCTAACATGAAGAGTTTCTATGAAAAATTCTAAACAATAAAAATAATAATGATGTTAATTAAATCTTAAAATTAATTTTGATTAGCATTCAAGAAGCAAAATATTGCATATTTAATAAATTTAAAAAAATTAATTTTGGTTTTATTTAAATATCTAATTTACTAAAATTCTTTTATTAATACTTTTCATGAAGAATTTAATTCTCATTTGCTTATTAGCTGTGGTCTTAACATAGCTAGTTTAACATTCAAATAAATGTAATGATTGTGGATAATTAAAATCACAGAATGATTGTGAATAAGAAATTACTGTATCAGGAGCCTGTGAATGGGTGGCTGCATCTGGAACAACAGCAGCAAAATGTTAGAAAAAGACAACAGTTGATCCAATCAGTTCATTCAAACCCTTCTGTGAACTTGTTGATAAACCAGAAACAAACTGTGCTAAAACATTAGGTTGTGCTTATGTCGACTAAAAATGCACACATTTTACAGGATGTCAAGCATATGTTAAAACTACAACAACAGATTGCTAAGCTATATCCTATTAATGTGTTAGTGATGGAAATGCCTGTATTCAGGCTAAGGAATGCAAAGAATATACACAATAACAATGTGAATCAACTCCAAGTATTTCTGGAATTCTTAAATGTAAATGGGATACAAACTCGGGAGCTTGTAGAGATTATGCATGTTCAGAAGCAGATACTAGCTTAAATACAGATGAAAAATGTTCAGCCTGGTTAGCTGGTTGTGTTACAAAAGGTTTAGGTTGTGTTAATACACCAAGACCTGCATGTGCTACTTATACAGGAGATGATGCTGCATGTTAATCTTTTATTGGATCTGATGGAAATTGTGAATTAGCAACTGGTACAACAAATTGTAAGGCCAAAGAATGTGTTAATGCTCCATCATCATTGAGTTCTGATGATGATTGTAAAGCCTATTAAAAAGGATGTATAACAACAGGAAAAGGTTGTGTTTTAGCAACAACAAAACCATTATGTTCTACATATTCAGGGGATAATACTACTTGTGTTGGATATATTGGATCAGATGGAGTTTGTGAAGGTGATGCTGGTGGTTCTAAATGTAGAGCCAGAAAATGTGAAAATGGAGCATTCAATACAGATGAACTATGTTAATAATATTAAAGTACTTGTAGGACAAATGGCAAGAATTGTGTTTCAGCATTAACAGCTTGTAATACATATAAAGGCACTGCCACCACTTGTGCGGTATATATTGGTACTGACGGATATTGCAAAGGAACAAGTACAACAACTGAAGCTTCTTGCTTACCAAAGCTTTGCGATGAAGCTCCAGATACAACAACTACTGATGATGCTTGTAATAAATATTAAATTGGATGTGTTACTACAGGAAAAGGATGTGTTACAAAAACTAATTTGAAATCTTGTACTACTTATGATGGTGATGCTACTAGTTGTTAATCAAGAGTTGGATCTGAAGGTAAATGTACATGGAAGACTGGAACCAAATGTGTTGCTAGAGATTGTACTTAAGCAGCAACCAATTTAAATACTAATCCTCTTTGTGC